CTGATTCTATTTTATTTTTTTTCTATAGGGGAGCAATGTTTTTCTATTAGGGATAGTCAAGAAAAGGTACAGCTTCTTGGTGAATGCAGGAGATAGCACAGGAGAGCAGTGATGGGTGACTTTTCTGACCTTGAGCTATTTGGTGGCCTCTAAGATGAGAGGATTTGCTTCTGGGTTCTAGAAAGCAGTGTGTTATTTTTGTATATACTGTTGCAGGTTAAAATCATTCTTTTTACCAGATCAGGTCTGTTATTCTTGGAGGCACCCCAACTTGAGGCTGGAGAAAGCACAATTGAGGCCATATGAGAACCTGAAGGTTTTATATAGCTCTTGAGATTTCTGAGAAAAGGCTGTAACATGTACTTTGGAGTCCAGGCCTTTAAAACCTTTAACCTTGGCTTTAAAACTGACTGCAAAGCACTTAGATTTGTATTTGGCTTATATATTTTATGAACTGACTCTGGAATTCTTTAGACTAATGTTACCAGTGACTGTTCTGGGGTACTGGAACTCTCCTTCCAGTATCCTTGTACCAGATAATACTGAAGCAATACAACTTTCATTAGTACACTTGAAAATGTTCAGGTTTTCTTATACCAAGTGGAGATGTTTTAATTACATCTTGCAGATCTACACTGATGTTGGGAGATTCACTTCGCCAAGATAGTAATTGGTACTGTCTGTTAGAAACAATTGTCTGCCTGTGCCAAAACACAAGGAGCGATTTGATGATGTGTATCTTGGGTACAATGACTCTCTTCTTGTTTTGCTGACAGGTATTAGGGTTTTCCAACATTTGTGGGGGAATGTAAGTACATCTTTTATAAGAAACAAGCACGGTATCCTTTTCTGCCTCAGTAAAGGGCATCCAGATACCTACTATGTCAAAACCACTGATAAACTCTAATTGAATGAGTGCACTTCAAAAGAGTAATAAATCAATACTTTTAGCTGTAGCTTAAGGTTGCATCTCCTGCTTGAACTGATGGTTGCCTGGTATTATGCTCTTCTGGTTTTTGTTGTTTGAGCACTTTTCAGTGTTAGCCATTTGGTGCTGTGAAGGTGCAGTGCAAGTAAGGTCTTTGTGCATGTATTTCTGGTATGTACCTGTGCTATTTGTAGCAAATATGACAAAGGAGAGCATCTCAGCTGTGAAAATACTGCGCATTCAGGACGAGATGCATTAAAATCGTCGTGAGTCATACTCTTCCTTGGAGACAATAGTTCCAGGCAGTCCCATGGGTTGTGATGCAATGGCACTGCAAGTGTGCTTTTGCCATTTAAGTACTTCTATTAAAGAAAGCGTTATTAGCTCGAAAATCACTCAAACCCACTCACTTCTTTGAGCCCATCAAGTTCTTGCTGCCTTACCAGGCCTCTTTAATTTCTTATTTTTAAAGCGATTACTGAGTAGAACTCCTTTGCTGTGTCTATTTTGAACAGCCAGTTTGCACTAAAGCCTCATTTTCCTTTGAATTTATGCATCAGCCTCTCAAAAATAGATTTCTCTTGATAAGCACTTGCAGCATCTTGATGCTGTGTCCTTGACAGGCTGCTTTGTGGCACTGCACTCTGCTTCCAAAGCCTGATTTTTACCAACATAAAACTAATGAGGCTGCTTTTTGGAGGCTGGGCTGTTGATCTGAATTGTAAAACCTTCCCTCCACACTGCTCGGGCCCTTGAGAGCCCAAACGGCCTCCGGCTGAGAAAAAAGGTGCAGACACCGCCGCTGCTGCCACTCTGCACTGACATGTTAACTGGTTCCCAATGGAACCCTGTACTTCGTGTCGCGACTGACGCGACAACCGTACCCCCCGAGAGCCAGCACCACGAAGGGGACGAACGCCCTGCGCCCACCCGACCCCACCCTTCGGCTCTTTCCGGCACTGCTCGGTGTTTTCCGGATCTCCTCGGCTCCCTCCGGCCCTCCCCGCATGCGCCGCTCCCGCAGTTCGCCCGCTGCGCTCGGGTGGGTGGGAACGCTCCCTCCCGCGCCCAGCTCCCGATGAATGCCGAAGTCCTTCGGCTCTTTCCGCCGGCCGGGTAGGGACCGTTCTGCGGCGCTGACGTCACCTCCGGGCCGCCTTATAAAAAGGCGGGCACAGGCGGCGCGCCGCGTCCGTAGCGGAGGGCGCGGAGCCGGAGGAGGGGACGCTGCGCACCGAGCGGGTGAGGCGGCGGGCGGGGGCAGCGCTGTGCTCCGGCCCGGGGAGGCGGCGTGGTGCTGGGGGGGAGCCGCGCTCGCCATTATCCGGCCCCACTCGGGTACACAGAGGCCCCCCCCGTAGCCGTTCCGCCGCTGCGGGGACAGGTGTATGGGTGCGCGCTCCCCTCAGCCGTGGGGCAGCCTGAGGCCGGCCCTGCCGCCGTGACGGGGGTGTTACCGCGGGCGCAGAGCCGGGCCGCGGCAGCGCCCGGGGTCTCTCGGGGGAGGGGAGGGAAGGGAGGAAAGGGCGGGGGAGCGGCGCGGATAAAGGGCAGGCGGTCAGGGAGCGGCGGGATCCGCCCTGGGCAGCCTCGACCCGCGGCTGGGATTTCATTCAGCGCCCTGGGGAGGGGATGAAGAGGCGGGGGGATCGCAGGGACACCAGGGCCTGTCCCTGTGGGCAGAGCGAGGGGCCCTTCCCTTCGCCCCTGCCCCGTGGGGTTTGCGGTAAAGCCCCGCCGCGCCCCGCTGAGGAAAAATGCCGGGGGGAGATGGAGAACGCGGAGCTTCCCCATCGGCGGAGGGGATTCAGTGCACAGCAATGGCTTCCCTCAGCAATCACCAGCCCTGTCCAAGGTCAGGAGATGCAGTGCAGAGTCTGGGTGAGGGGAGAGGAGAAAAGAAGGGCTGGGTGTTCAGTGGTGGCTGGAGAGCCCTTTCCTCAGGGAGCTAGGGTGTCTCTAAAACGAGGAGCACATAAATTCCTTGCACAACGGAGCTGTCTGCCCAAGCAGGAAGACATATAAAAGAAATCCTCCCAACCTGTGTTCTGTTCATAGATGTCATTTTCGCATACAGGGCAAACGCTACGGTTTCTTTCATGAAAGAATCAGGATTTCTTCCTCTCTTATTAACTGTTTTTCCCCTTTTTAATTTAATATAAATTAATGACAGTCAGTTGTTTCTCAGTTTGTTGCCTGAATACACCTAACCAGCTTACACTGATACAAATCTACACTGCTAGATCATATATAGGTACCACCACTGTAATCATTTGCCATGTCATTTAAGGAAAAGCCTAAGCATTTATGACTGTATGTGTTTTTAGCAGGTCCATGTTAACTGTTTTGGGGTTTTAGTAGATATTTTACCATAAAACAGGTACATGTTCCAGTCTAAAAGGTACGTGACTCTTGAGCAGTCTTTCATACATATTTAAGTAGGTTCTGGAGAGCAGTTGTCTGGAGATGGCGAATGAACAGAACACATTAGGAGGGGGAAAAAAAGACAAAGCCAGAAATCCTGCTCGGCCTGAAATGGTTCTGTATCTTTCTGGAAAACAGATAATCCATTTCCTTTTGGCATTTTGTTTTCAGCAAAGTGCCAGAAGATTCTGATGACTGCATTCAGTGAAAGGCCCCCGTCAGGGATTCAGATTTGTTCAAAACAGATAGCAAATCCCACTGTGTGATTTGTATGCATTTAAATGCAACAAGCAATGGGTTCCTCCATGAAATCCTCATTTATTCTTGCTTAGAAATTGTGCAGAGAAAAAGAAGGAACAAAAGGTTGAAAATGAGATGCTTTCTGCTGCGTTGTGTGCAGGAGCTGCAACTGTGGTAATGGAATTGTTAAGATGTGGATATACTTAAACCAAGAGAACAGGTTACATTGTAGAAGTAATTTATTTCCATTCCTATTGAGGAAACAAAATATATATATATGTTTTTTATATATATATATGTATGCACAGATATATAACATATATATATAAATTGGCTATTGAAATAGAAGCTACATTTTAAGGTCAGCTTTAGATGTTATGCTACGAGATCCATAGTGCATGAAGTGAGCGAACACATTTGGGTTTATTTTTTAATAACAAAAAGTAATGACAATAAGAAAAATGTTGAATGACAAAAACTGGCTTTTAAGTGTTTTTAGCACTTCTTTCTCCTATTTGTTAGGAAGGCAGCAGAAGCATTAAATCTCTTGCGACAGGGTGGTCCCTCATGGTCTGACATTGCTAGTTCTCATCTATTACATTTATATTTAACCTTAGCAAATTGATGCAAATGACTTTGTACCTTTACTGCCTGATTTTTGTCTACTGAATGTGTTCATGGGGTTGTATTAGTTCTATTCATAAATACATTGCCTTTTGGGGGCAACTCATTGCTTCCTCTGCATTGGAGGAAATAATATGAATTCCTCCCTTTTTTCTGCTGTGTGTTAGTCTAGTGTGGGAGTTCGGTTTTGCCATCTGCCCCTGGAGTGTAGGCAGCAGAAGAATGGGGTGGAGCAGGCTGCAGATGCCGCTGATGGAGGTTGCCAAGCGGAGTCCAGCATTGTGCTCCCATAGCTGACCATGGATCAAGCGAAGCGGCGCGCTGCCTGCTCGCTCCTGCAACTGATACGTGTTAAGCTATGCAAATGCCACGCCAGATATGCAGTGGCTTCAGCAGGCACAAAAGCACATAACTGCAGTTGGCCCTGAGCTGCTGCAGGGATCGCAGTGCTCTCGTGGGGAAAATGTAAGATTAGGGGAGGCAAGGGAATGTTCAGATAGAAATGGAGTGGGTAGATGCACTGAGCAGCTACATCGTCAGCCATCTCAAAAATACCTTCTGTTGCAAACTGCTGCATTTTTCCCAGTGGTAGCTGAAAATAAACATCTTTATTGATACTTGTGTTCAAAACCTCCTTATTGAGCTTGTGTCTTTAAATTAAGCCACCACACTTGATCATGCCATAGCAAGAAGCATCGTTTGCCAATTCCAGATAACTCTCTTTACTTTGTTTTGACCTTCAGGTTATGATAGGTTTTGTTTTGCTGGGTTTTTTTAACTAACTGGAAAGGTTAGTACATACCAAATGAATTCACTTTTCAGTTGGTACTTATAACCTTTTTTTGCATGGGAAGGTCTGTTGTTCACATAACAATAATGCCAAATTGTATGTGGCAAGGAACCAAAAGGGAAGTACAAAACGTGTGCTGTGACAGACTGTGGATGTCAGGGGAAAAAGAGAAAACAAATTAAGCTATGTCCTCATGCTAGTCATTAGTTGAACGTTATCTTGATTTCCCCCTCCCTTTTAGACTCTACATTCCTTCATCATGTTGTCATCGTTTCGTAAAGTCAGAGTCCAGGTATTTTTACATCATGCATGAAGTGTCATCGCCATATTTGCCTGTCTGTATTGCAGTGACCTGTTTGTAACAAAGCCCCATTTGTTTGAGTTTGTTCTGTACAGCAGGTGCTTTATTTGCACCTCAGTGTTGAGTCTGATCTGCCTTTCCTTTAACCCTTTGAATTTCCTGATTCCTGTCTGTGGTGCATGGCGTGTGAACATTTTATCCAGTTCAGTCTGGTTGGGTCTTGAAGTGGATTAATTTTTGCTTTAAAAAGTACTTGAGTGGTATCTTTTTACTTAAAGCCTCTGCAAAGCAACCATGAAAAGATTTACATTGGGGAACGCTCCACATCTGCAACTGGATTTCATTCCTGTTCCATCCACTTGCATGGATTTATAAGCCTTCGTATTTTTGTGGTGGTACTGTTTATATTCTCTGTTGGTTTTCGTCCAGTTGGTGGTAAAATAAATAGGATGTAGGGACCAGCCTTCAGCTGGGCAACACAAGCAACTAGGTTTTATTTGGAAAGGATAGTAATGTAAATGTTTATACTGCAATTAATATTACAATGGAAAGATAACAAAAGGGGGTTGGAAAATGCTGGGGTTAATTATATAAGATCCCATTACCTGTAAACTCTGCGTTCCTGCAATGCAGTCAAGGGAGTTTCTCTGGAGTCTCAGCAGAGTGCGGTCCTTGCCAGCTCTGCATAGTTTTATCAAAGGTCTGTGGTGATATGTGATATTAAATGCAAAGCAAAGCCAAAGAAACCCTTACAAAGGCACCAAATGCAGGTAGGAAATTCTGCTCCTGTTTGAATAATGCAGTTAAAATTTCAAGGCTGAATGCCTAAAAATGAGCAGGTCTTTAATCATCTTCCATATTCCAACAGTGCCTGGCTAAGGCTGCGCGCAAACCCTCTAATCAGCCTAAATCACCGGCTTTGCAGCCTGCTTTACCTCAGACAGAATTCACCTTTAAGTTTTAGTGCTTATGTCTTGTGTCCCTGTAGCACCTACTTAAATTCTGGGGCTCGTTTGAATTTCACCTGTGCTGCAGTCAGTCTGTGTGAGCCTCTGCCATTAAGCAGCGACTTCAGCCCATCTTGGATTTTCGTACTGCAGTGCTTGCCCCAGTTCTCTGGTTTGGAATTTGCAGAGGTTGGAGGTGACCTTCCTGTAACAATAACCAGGGGTATTTGGATGCAGGGTTCTGCTGCACATAGTCCACCCTTAAAATGTCTTCATTTTATAGATTTAAATTCATAACAAACCAAAGCACAGGGCATTGATTTTGTCTCAATAGTGTTTTAAGTCTCTAGTATAGGGTATGTGATTTGACATCCTTTAGTAACACCATATGCTCCTGTAGTTTCCTTCACAGGACCCAGCGCTGTGCATACTTTCCAGAAGGATTCTCTTTTAGTTCCCTGCAGTTCTGGTACATAACTAACATAGCACTGAGCTAGGAAGTCATGGTGCCTTTGTGTTCGAGACAGACACAGTGTTTTGCTGCTTCCTGAGCATTTTCAGGAAGGTGAATGGGGGAAATGAAGGTTGGGAATAAATGCACGCTGTTTCCCCCCCAACCCCGTCCGTTCCTTTTGAAGGTTATTTTCACATCCAGTATTAGAACTCTTCTTTTTTTTTTTTGCTTACAGAAGACAGCTCAGCACTTCATTCCCATTCCCTAGGAGGGAGTAGCCAAGATGACTTCTGGTGTATAATATTGATGAACACAAACAATTGCATCAAGCTGTTTGTGTGCATACGTGGGAAGCAGGGAGTGTTTGATAGAGAAAGTGCTTCTCTTGCAGACTGCAACCAGGGTCACGTATGCTAAATATATGTAACATGCATCAGGACTTGGCTGAAGAGAAAGTCATTATCTTACTATATATCTTTATATACTGATACCTGAGTGCTTTTCAGGGAGTTGAGTTCTTTAAGCTTCATCTAATTGGTTTTAAAAATACACTAAAATCTTACATACAGCATCAAATGTCTTTGAGATTTGAGTTTTTAAATCCCTGAAAACATTTTGGTGAGGGAAACGCTGACAGCTCTTGTGTGTGTCTGCCCTGGTGGCACTACTGTAATTCCTGCTTAACCCACCTCGATACCGCTGTTCCCCAACTTGAATGGTGTTGCTGACATCATGGCTGTTGCACTGCAGTGGCTATAAATACCTGCACTTGTGTATTCCCGTGCACTTTTGAGTGTAATTTGTATTGTCTGGGGAAGGCTGATTAGTTTAGATTGAAGGATAAGAGTAGTAAACTTGGGTTTTTTTTGTGTTGTGGGGTTTGTGTCTTAAATTTACTACTTTTTATTGCTTTTTTTGTTCTTTTTTTTCTGGAAAAAATACCGGCACGATGGTGCAGTCATTTCTGATTATTTTTTTCAGTTAGACCTAAGCTGACAAGTGCCTTTCTAAAGTTAGTCTTCCAGCACAGAAGTACGGTGTGAATGCCTTCGGGACAGTTCAGATGGGCTGGTTTGGGGACGTGTTTGCGATGACGCCTGCCTTGGCTGCCTGGAAGGCTGGTGCTGTCCCTCCTGCCGGGAAGGTTCCTTGGTGCCTGACCTTATCAGCTAGTGCAGGCGGTGCTGGGAGGGGCTGGAGGCAGCAGCGGTGGGAATGTTGTCTCTGCGCACAGTGCCGGTTATCTGGGGTCGGGGCTGGGCACTTGCGCACAGCCCAGTGTAAGCTGTTGTTTTTCACGTTAAAAACAGAAAATGCAGCTTCTTGTTGGCAGCTCTCTAGCTAGGGATAAAGAGCTGTAGCCCAGATGCCTTCAAATGGTGCAGTTGAACCAAGAAGGTTTAGAAACATCTTGGAGGACTGCTTTGTATTCAAGGGGGAGCGTGCCGCAGTTGGAGCGTGAAACCATCGGAGGTAGACTGCATCGTTCTGCAGCATCGATGACTTTTGAGTTCAGAGCTCCCCAGTGAGTGCTGATCGCGCTCTGGCAGAGCACAGACTTGCTGACGTCAGCTGATCTGCTGCAGGAAAGAACAGTCTATTATTGCTAGACCAAAGCACTTCTTTTACAATTGACTAGCTCGACTTACTGCAGCTACAAAAGGAGCCTTTCTTTTAACGAATTCCAGCAAAAAGATGAGCCAGATTGCATGACTCGTGTGGTGAGAGGCAAACCAGCCACCAGGCTACATTACAGCAGGTCTCCTGTTTGGTTTTTAAAGATATAGAATTAATTTAAATTGTCATTTAAATGATGTAACTATTCGCATAATTTAATCATGTAAATAATGATTTAAAGAGATTTAAAATCACTTGGGCTGTGGGTATTATTACTAATACTGAAATACAAGTTGACAGCAAAAGACTGACAGTGTTCCAAAGATGAACTAGGATTTCATTTTCTCCTGGTAATATTCATAACCAGAATAAGCAGCGAGACGGGCCCCAGTCCTGCAGTACATTTTGACTCCCTGCCACCTTGTTATTCCTGAGCACAGTTCACTTTAAAAGAAGCACTGTTGGAATTCAAACGCAGTGTGTCAGGGCAGGAAAGGAAGTTTTTTAGCAAGAACTTGCTCTCCTGGAGGGAAAATGCTGTTTGAAAGAGCGCTCGAAACCACCGCTTTCTCAGGGAAACAGATCTGTTGTTGAGCTCAGGTTATGTTCGGGGGTTTGATCTTTTAATGCTCAGATAACTCTAATCAGGTGGAGCCTCTGGTACCACTGCCAGGTGAAACCTGGGCTTCATTTATATCACACAGCCTACATAGATGGGATTGGTTTTTTTCCCTTGCCCTCTGTTGACAACAGGCCTGGAAGGGAAAGCAAAGCTGCCTTTTCCTTCCTTCCTCAAACTGCCGCAATGCAGTTGGGGCTCAGAGTTCATGGGCGCAGCGATTGCTGCTGGAATGGCTGTCCTCTTGCAGGGTGGGACTCTTGGAAGAGAGCTCAGGAATGTGTGAATTCGCCCCCATATGTTCCTTTCTGTCAGCTGGTCCCGTTGCAAGCGCTTGGAAACCAAGCAGAAAACACGGCCATATAGACTGCTTTCCATCCTGTGGTGTTTCTCATACAATTATGCAAGATGCATGTTTAAGTAAAGCATGTGGCTAACTAATGATTAAATCACATTTTAATATTTAACTGTATTTTTAAGAGATTGCCCATGTCTTTTAGTATGCAGTTATAGTCTCTGTTTCTTCCCTATCCTTGATAACATTGATGAGAAGTACATTTAGCTTGATGCTTACAGGATTTATAATAAAAGCATGAAGTGAGCTGTTCATGTAAACCCTTGTACATCAAGCCATTCATTACAGAATTGTCCAAGCATAAAGTGTTTGTTGCAGCAGCTCCTTGACAGGCAGAGTGAGCTATCAAACAAATGGGTAAATACCCAAACTGATGAGAATTATGATCCTATTTTTTTACTTTGTGTTACCATTCTGGTCTCATGCACAGGTCTCCTATTGAAAAATGGCTTTTACAAAGGTTAGGCACGGAAAATTAAAGGTTATCCCACTCTTATTAGAAAGGAAACAAAGCAGAGCAGTCAGTTCTTTGCTGTCTGTGGTAACAATAACAGGGTTTAGTATATAAAGTGATGTATGAGGATTTTTGGTTGAAGCAGTCAGAGCAGGATCACTTCCTAATGAAATGCTCCTTGACTGACTTGTCTAAGGTCAGATCTGTGAGGCATCATGAGCTTCTGTATTGGCTTTTGAAAAGTTAATGTAGGGAGTGGCAGGATGGGTTTATAATGTTTTAATTGAGAGAACAGAGAGGAGAACCATCACATACACATGGATGTGTGTATATGTATAATACAGATAGAGACATGTGGACCAGTTAGCTGCTGTTTAAAAAAACATCAGTGTTCTTTAGCTTACTTACTATTTTAAGTGTTTTGAGATTGTACATATTGTGCAAGAAACCTTTTATGTCTACACATCTACATATATATGTATATGCACAGAAACACGTTTGTGTTAGACTGGCATGCTGCCGTTTGAGTTGACATAGCCTTTATATGACTGCAGCCATATTTTTCCAGAAGATGTTAAATATCTTTGTAAATATTCCTTTCCCATTATTTTCTGCTGGAAGTATGCTTTTATTTAAGTGTGTAATACTCGTGTTGTTTGCACATACCCACACACACAGAATAAGACTGTGAGTAAACCACAAGCGAGTTTGAAAAGAGCAGGCTTTTCTTTCCTGGATCTCCTCCTGCCCTTCCTTTGTTATACAATACAAACAAAATGTGTTTCTTTTGGCTTTCAGAAAATGGATCCAAGTGGTGTGAAAGTGCTGGAAACAGCAGAAGATATCCAAGAAAGGCGTCAACAAGTTTTGGACCGTTACCACAGGTTCAAGGAACTATCTTCTCTAAGGCGCCAAAAACTTGAAGATTCCTATCGATTCCAGTTTTTCCAGCGTGATGCAGATGAGCTTGAAAAATGGATCCAAGAGAAACTGCAGATAGCATCTGATGAAAATTACAAAGACCCAAGCAATTTACAGGCAAGTCCTGCTGCCATCTTATGTTTCCTGTACTATAAACTTTAGGGCGTACCAGGTCAGCTGGGATAGAACAAACACAGAAATGTAACTTGATCTGAGAGCGGTGAAGAGAGATGAATGCAGATACCCACAGCCTCCCAAAGTGTTCTTCAAAAGCCTGGCCTCTTTGCTGATACAATTGGAGTATTTTTAGTAATGATTAGATGCTGAATCAGCATAGGAAAAGTTACTTCATGTAGCGTAGTGTAGAACCATCTTTGTTTAACCCTAGAGTTTGTTGGACACTTTGTGAATAAACATGAATTAACTCTTACTGTTTCCACTAAAAAGATGTAAAAAATAAGCTAGTGGAACTAGCTGGTGTCTGAGCACTGCAGTTTACAAAGCAAACACAGTGAACACATGTTTGGATCCAGCCGTGAAACACATGATACAGCAATGATTCCTGCTGTGCTGTTTTGCTGGTTGGTTTTTGGTAGTGAATATGTGTAAAATACACTAAAAATACTTGATACTTGGAAATGTGGAGGAGGACTGTGCAGCAGATCTGTCATGTTCTTTGATGTTTCACTTGTAGGGGAAGCTGCAGAAGCACCAAGCCTTTGAAGCTGAGGTGCAGGCCAATTCAGGGGCCATCGTTAAACTGGATGAGACTGGAAATCAGATGATTAATGAAGGCCATTTTGCATCTGAAACCATAAGAGTGAGTTTTAAAATGTCTTTCCTTTTTTTTTGCCTCTTACAGCCTTTTCCTTTAGCACTTTGTGCAGTTTGCACAGATAACTCTGCATTCTAAAACACTTCTAAAAACTACACAGGTGATTGGTTAGAGAAATCACAAGAGAATTTGTATTTGTAAAGCTGACTTTTCTCTTTCATGAACACCCAGCTCGTATCTATTCTTGGATCCAGTTCTGAGATGAACTGTCTGCATCTGGTGCCCAGGAACTTGGAATGCAAAATCATCAGCAATTCAAGGATGTGTTTAAAGTCACAAGGCAAATGATTAATTGTATTTGTGGTTCTTTCCAAAATGACACGAGATCAAGAAGCAGCAGATTCACAAGGCCTGGTGTCATGGGTTGTGACCACTCAGTTTTTTGCTGGTGTAGAGCATTTTCGTCTTCTGCAATAGCCATTCCAAGTAATATAAGTAAGCAGAGCAATAAACTTCAGACATGTAATTTCTATGTGCTCTGGCTCAGATCAGGTCTCTGTGATCTTTACTTTTTGCTGAAGTTGTACTGCCCATACACTTGAGTCTTTTTGAATTTGTGTTCCATGGGTTTTCCTGTGAGCTTCAAGTGCAGTGCTCTGTCTGCTCTGTTTATTTGGCAGCACACATCACTTTGGACAGCTGCTTCCTCAGTAACAAGCGCTAAGCTTGCTTTAAATCCTTTGCTGAGATAGACTGTTGTTTCTTAATTTCTCTCTAAGTCTCCCAAACTGTGTAATACAGTGACAAATGTAGTTGTCACATCTTTGCTGCTGCACTAGATAGATTTACATTTGACAGTATTTGAGCGATTATCAATGTTATAAAGTCTGAGCAAACTGTAAGGTTTGGGTAATGACTTGCTGGTTATCCTTTACTCCTTCTCCCATGTATTCTCATTTTCTTCTGGTTATATTAGTGTTTTCTCTCTTACTCACCCATGACCCTGGGCAATGTGGTCTAATGTGAGGTGTCCCTGTCTGTGGCAGGGGGGTTGGAACTGGATGATCTTAAGATCCTTTCCAACCCAAACCATTCTGTGTGTGCATACCCCACCAATAAACACTTAATTCTGCATATCAGCTGCTTCTTCTAGGCCTCATTTTGTTAAAGCTGCTGTTTCTGGACGTCAGCTCGTTTCCATGTTGGTTGTGGCTGCATTTTAATGTAACGCAAAGAAGTTGTTTAAAGCATTTTCCTTTATAAGGTTTAGACGTGAGCTGTTACAGCTTTTTAAAAGGAGAACCCTTGTGATGTTTTTGTAGTGATTATCAAACTTACATGTTCATCATTTCATTATAACTGAGAAAAGGTAGTAACCAAGAAAACCTGGTATTACTTTTAATACATTAATAAAATCCTGCTAAGGTAATGCTTATTTTATATGATCACAATGGGATCTCTGATCTTTACTCCAAATGGGGGGGGGGAAGTGCTTTGCAGTTGGATGATCTTAATAGTGTGTCGTAGCTGCAGTGAGAGTTATTTGTGTTGTGTTTGGAGTGGTAATTTGTCTTTTAATGGTTCAGTCTTTCACGCCGTACCGGACTGCGCAGCGTCCAATAGTAACAGCTACTCAAGTTGGGTCCCACATCCGAGTAGGTGAAACTTCTTGCAGTGCAGTGCAGCTTCTTTCTGCAGTATCTCCTTTCCTCCTTGGTTGATGGTTTGCACTATCCTCTTGTGCAGTGCTAGGAAACGGAGTAGTGTGAGCTCTTTACCCTCTGGAAACCTACCTAACTGAGCGGATTAAACGGGTATCCGCCCATGCTTGATGTTCAAAAGCTTCTCCAGCATGACTTTCAAGTTTCAATTCTCGATGAGCAAAGCGTTATAGATGAAGGGTGGAGCAGATACTTTCCTGTTTTGCAAGTTGTGTGTCTGTGTGGGAGTGTGGTTTTTCTTTTTAATTGTCTATAAAACTTAATGGTTGCTCCCAACAGTTTTGAAAGGCAGAGGTGCAGCCAGAGAGAGACTCAATATTAAAGCTGGCAATTGCTCCTAGTACTCCAGTGTTATGTTACTTAACCATGTTGGCTAAATATATTAAGTGATTAGGGCTAAGAGAAAAGGTTAAAATACTGTAAAGTGGCACAAGTTTGGCTGGAAACAAAATGTGTCATCTTAAATAAAAACCAATTTGAAAATGAGCACAACATTCATTATTGGGAGTTGAATTCCCTGTAGAAGACTGAACATTTCAAGGGGACAGCAGCATATTTTTGGTCTGACTTCATGTCAGCATAGAATTTAAATCAAATTTTGATCTCAAAATGTTTAACTCGTAGTTATGTAAATGTAACTATTTGATAGCTTCATTAATTATGAACAAGTATGTAAATATTCAGTAATTTCTAATTTAGTGTTGTTTAGATCACTTTACATCATTTGAAAACTAATGACTGGGGATGAAACTTGTTACTTTTGTCCACCCTATGTCTAAAGTGAGGATTAGCGTGTACTGTTCCAGGAAAAAAATCATCATCTGTTAAGGTCAGGAAGGAAATAAATCTGATCTTCTCTGATACAGGATTTTAGTAACAACATCCTATTGTTCTAGACTCGGCTGCAGGAGCTGCATCGACTATGGGAACTGCTGTTGGAAAAGATGAGAGAGAAGGGAGTCAAATTGTTGCAAGCACAGAAGCTGGTGCAGTACTTACGTGAATGTGAAGATGTCTTGGACTGGATCAATGACAAGGTATATTATTACCTGCCTTTGGTGTGTGAAATGTGATGTGTTTGTGTGGAATTTGTCTGTCACTGTATAGCTGCTGGAGTTCAGGTAGTCAAAGAAAGCTTTTAAAGGCACCTGTACATTTTACTTAGCTTATTCATACTGCATAAGCAGTAGGCATGCCAGCTGCTATGTGTTCTTTTGCAGCCACAAAACAAGGTACTGGACTAAGAGGAAGCCTGCATGAAGGAAAGCATAGATAAACATGAATTCTTTGCTTTGAGGAGACCTTCATATTTCTCCTTGTAATCAAATTCAGGTTTCCTGTAAAGGAAATACACAACATGTAAAAGCAAATGTGTTTTATAGATGTTCTAAATGATCAGTTCTAGAAAGTAGCCAGCCCAACCAGCAAGTAGTGTCTATGTAATTACTTAATGGCTGGAATATCTTCAGATATTCATTGTAAGGACATGAGCTGCAGGAGAACTGTTGGCTCTGGATTCTTTGAACTCTGAGGAAACAGACCACAAACCACACTATCAAGAAAAAGAAAAGCCACAAATGATCATAGAGGTTTTCTTAATGATGGTTTGTTATTTTGTGTCACTGTGGGTTCAGACTGTAAACACTGCTTAACTGTTACTGAATATGATGGTGCACTTTTCATCTGGAGTTGAAAGCAAATGCTAATAAACAGACTTAAAAATGTAATCAAGCTCTAATCACTGTGTGCTCCACAATAACACGGGCAGTTATTTTGTACTTTTAAAAGTATGTTTTTTTTCTGTGTATATTTTCTTTCATTAATTTAGGTTGTTGTAGTAGAGATCATCATGGACGGAAGAGAACACTTAGGATAGAAGAATTGATTATATTCAGTAACTTGAAAAATTAGTAAGAACAAGCAAGATGAAAAACTAATACCCTTAGTGATCTTGCATGTTTGCTGCAGTAATGGACAGATGTTGAGGGGAGGAGTGGAATTTAGCAGAGGAAACTTTGTAGTTTTAAAACCACCTTTAAATGCACTGATTCTAACTCTTTGACCTACTGAAAATTAGAACAGTTTCCTTCCTCATTTCACTCATGATTTCCCATAGGATATACTGACATTTGCTTTTTTTCTCCTCAATGTTCTAGGAAGCAATAGTGACCTCAGAAGAACTCGGGCAGGATTTAGAGCACGTTGAAGTTTTGCAGAAGAAGTTTGAAGAGTTCCAGACAGACCTGGCAGCTCATGAGGAAAGAGTAAATGAAGTGAACCAGTTTGCTGGCAAACTTATCCAGGTAAACATTAATGTGTGCTGAAAATCTCTTTCAGCAAGTCTGATGTAACACAATAAGCTTTGTCTGCAACTTCCTCTGTATTCCCTCTGGGTTGGTAGCTGATCTTTTAAGCTTTACTCTACATGTGCCAAGATACTTGGCCGTCTTAATGGTGGTCATTTGATTCACTCATTCTTCTGCCTGACAGCTTTAACTGCCCCAGTTGAGAACGTTCCTGAAAATATGGAGAATAGTGATTAGTCAAAGAAATTGTATTTGGGGTTAAATGTGTTTCCCTTGGATAGCCAGGATTAACATATCTTCTCTTCTGGTGTGTTACCTGGACTTGGTCAAGGATGGAGACAGGGCAGGAAGTACTGCTTTCCAGGAAAAAAAAAGATAGTATTTACAGTCCTTTTCCCATTGACTAATTAGTACATAGGGAACTACTACAGGAGCATTGAATGTTTACACAGTGGGGCTTGAGGGAAGCTATTGAATTGAGTGATCATCTGGCAAGAATAGTATTGATAAATTGATCTCTTGAAAGCAGCGGTGTCTCCGGGTTTTGTCAATGGATAAAACCACAGAACATGGGAAAAGAGCGTTTTTCCTTTGCTTGCTAGGAACAGCACCCTGAAGAGGAACTGATAAAATCCAAGCAGGATGAAGTAAACGCAAGCTGGCAGCGTCTGAAGGGACTTGCCCTTCAGAGGCAAGGAAAACTCTTTGGGGCAGCTGAAGTTCAACGCTTTAACAGGTATGGTCCTGGCTGGATCTGCTGAAGTGATGTAACGTTTGTGTGGATGTTTAATGAGGCATTCAGCTCTATCCAGTAGTATGAGAAGAGCTACTGTTGTCTGTTATGGTTTTGCTTTATTCTTCCTCATGACTTGTTGAATGAGGGCATTGTTGCTCTAAAATTGCCTTAGAGTAGTCATTCTGATTTAGCTGTTCAACACTTGGCAGTTTTGCTTCCCTTTCCTCTGAGGGCTTTTCCCCCCAGTTCTGTCCTAGATGAGCCTTAAAAGGTTTTATTGTCAGCTGGATGTCAGTCCAGTTGTTCTCAGAGGTCTTTGGACAGTGTCTTGCTGTGATCATCCCCATCTACAGCATTTTGAGATTAGCTGTTACTAAGTTGGAGAAAGCTCAGGAGTGGGAAATGTACCTGCTAGGCGATGGTGCTCAGTAATGCTATAATTCCTTGCTTGCATCTGGTGACACCATCTGAAGAATGGCTGCCAATACACTTCAAGGGGGGTTGAGGTTTTTAAAGTCAGGTTTTTTCAAGGGATGACTGCGGTGTCTCTCCCAGTACTCCTAGCATATGTGCAGGAAAACATCCTGCTTTCTTCCCTTTTCTGTACAAGATAGACTGTTTTCAATTTGTGCTTTGTTTTGAAGGGATGTGGATGAAACAATCAGCTGGATTAAGGAGAAAGGGCAATTGATGGCCTCAGATGATTTTGGCAGAGACCTTGCCAGTGTGCAGGCGTTGTTGCGTAAGCATGAAGGCCTGGAGAGAGATCTTGCAGCTCTTGAAGATAAGGTACCCACACGAGATGCATTTTTACCTACAATTTGTATGAAGTAAGCTGCTTGTAAAAGGCTAGAAGCTTACTCACTGTTTGTGACCTGCTTTAGGTTAAAGCCCTTTGTGCAGAAGCTGACCGTTTGCAGCAGTCTCACCCAATAAATGCCTCTCAAATTCAAGTGAAACGGGAGGAGCTGATCGCCAACTGGGAACAGATCCGAACTCTGGCAGCAGAGAGGCATGCTCGCCTTAATGACTCCTACAGGTAGGAACGCCGTCATGCTGGAATGACCTTTCTTCCTCAGTTGAATTTGACAGAATGCTCTTGGGAAGAGAAAAAAGGGATGCCGTTTCCAACATTTTGGAATGGTTCTGGTGTTTTCAGAAGCAGTTTTGTTCACCAAATTATATTTTACAATAACTTCTTGTAGTAAAAGAAATAGATGATAAATATGTACAGCTTTAAGTCATTCTCTGGGTGTAGATTAATTATGTAAAGAGACACATAGATGTTTTAGGATGTTTGGTTTTCTTTTTTCCCCCATCTGAGTTGGTATCTGCCATTTAACGTAATGTGGCTTTAATACATATATTGCAAATCTGTTCATGATGAAGTTGTTACGATTCTCAGTGAAGATTATTGTTTGATGTATTGTCATCAACAAAATGAAGTACCTGTTTCTGTGACAGTTGTTTTGTTGCTGTGGGATTTGTCTCCATCCAGTCTTGTTTCTACACAAGCCTGGCTGTCTATGAAACACAGTCCTTTAGTTCGCTATTGAGAAGCCACACTAAAAAGAAACTTAACCTGATCTTGTGGTTAGTTTGCACCCTTCTTGGTTTTGTTTTTCTGCTGTTTGCTCCTTCCCATGATGCAAGATTTATGGTGCTGGAGACTCACACAATAATAATTTTTTCCTTTGCCTTCCTTGTCATAATCTCTTCACCTCAATTAACAGCAAATGTGAAAGGGAAACAAACGGATCACTTCTGCTGATAAGCATGTGCCAAATAACTTACAGGCATGCTGAAAGGAATTTGAGAATTCATTTGCTTGTTGTTTTAAGGCTGAGGCATGTGCAGCTGAAGCTTTCTGTCAGTCTGCACCCCACACTGTTATGATTGTGACAAGCAGTCCGTGGGCTACCTTTAAACGCTCTGCTGGAGACCTGCCTTGTTGTCTTCAACATGCAGGCTTGTAGTCACGAATATTCCTTTTACTTTGATAGGTTATATGTAAAACATGTCTTTGAGAAATTGATTTTGAACATACTTTTTTTCAACCTATAAAAGGTTTATTTCTTTGATGGAGAGCACATTTAGTTACTTAATATTCCGACTGTGAATTGGTATTGTTTTGTTCTATCTGAGGAACAGCTTTTATGTTTGTAACACCTTCTGTGGAGTAAGGATGGAGAAACATTGCAAAACTTAATTATTCCAAACCATTTTTCATTGTGCCTTCCTAAGGCTGCAGCGCTTTCTTGCGGACTTCCGAGACCTCACCAGCTGGGTGACTGAGATGAAGGCTCTGATAAACGCTGATGAACTTGCCAATGATGTCGCTGGAGCAGAAGCCCTTCTAGACAGACATCAGGAACACAAGGTACAATGGCTGTACAGCCAAATCCAGTCAGCAGCCTTCAGTAGCTGGTCTGTATGTCTGTCACAGTCTCTGAGTCAGAACTGCTGATGTTGTATCACCAGAATCCTTTGATCAGGCAACTAACACGGTATGAGATGGCTGTCCTGATTTCACGTTTTTACTTTGTTTCTCAATAGTAGATATATATTAATAAATATTTAAGAATGCTTGTGATAATATTTCATTAAAAATCAGATGTGATAGCAGTAATTCAGGCTAATGACAGGTTTAGTTCTCCATCATGAGGAATTGCTATAAGTAAGCAGAAAGAGTGCAGCTTAAAATTAACCTTTAGTTTCATTTCAACACATGAATTTATACTTACCTGCACTGTAAGGTAGTACATTTCATTTTAGTTTTCCTGTTAAGGGTAATGTATTTAAAGATAGCTTAAGGTTTATCATTCAGGTGTCCTTACAGTTGTCTCTGTCTTATTTTCAATAGCAGTTTTCATATTCTGACACTATTCCAAGACAAATTCTGGTAACAGCTCATTCTTGTCCCCTTTCATAGGGAGAAATTGATGCCCATGAAGACAGCTTCAAATCTGCTGATGAGTCTGGCCAGGCTTTGCTTGCTGCTGGGCATTATGCTTCCGATGAAGTTAAAGAAAAGGTAAGTTGAGAGCAAGAGCTCCAGGAAGAATTTAAGAGCTTCTCTTACAAATAGGTCTGTGGTCAAAAAGTGTGATTGCCCATTAAATATCTCTCTGTAGATGCAGTTTGGAAAAGGAGAGGTTTCTGGCTGAAGTCAGAAAGTTGTAGCCAGTATTCAAGCTTGATAAATTAACAAAAGGCTTGCCCTATGTAAGGATGATGCTCTCAGTAATAGGAGGATTCTTTACACAGGAGATCATTTTCAGTCTGGTGTTAAACCACTTTTTTAGAGTCACAACTTGACTTTACATTGTGGTAGAAATGAACCAAACTGTTAGGTAAAACTGTTCTGTATTCCTCTTCCCAATCCATTAGCTGACCATCCTCTCGGATGAAAGATCTGCCCTGCTAGAGCTATGGGAGCTTCGCAGGCAACAGTACGAGCAGTGCATGGACTTGCAGCTTTTCTACAGAGATACTGAACAAGTTGACAACTGGATGAGCAAGCAAGAAGTGAGTGCACATCTTTGAACTCTCCGGATAAGGTTGATTTTCATTTCAAGTCTGTGTCTGTAGACTTAAAACAATTGGTTTATGGGTGGAGTGACTGCCACTAAACATGCACTAGGGAGCAGGGTGCTGTGCGGAGTTATTTATCTGACTGCCCCAGCTGCTACAATGATTGTTTCCATCTAATGTTTTAACTGTTGTGACAAGTTGGCTTGAGATTGCTTTTGTGTACGTTAACTCTTGTAAAGTGCTGGTTGAATAACAAGCTAAAAGAATTATTCGGAACCTGTTAGAGGCATACAGGGAGCACTATCCCAATATATCATCCTTTACTTCTCAACATCAGTGATGCTGCTTGAGCTGACTTAGAGCAGCTGAGCATGGAAACATAAAAATGTGTTTGTTTCCTGACTTCAGGCATTTCTTCTAAATGAAGACCTTGGTGATTCTCTGGATAGTGTGGAAGCTCTTCTAAAGAAGCATGAAGACTTTGAGAAATCCCTAAGTGCCCAAGAGGAGAAAATCACAGTAAGACATTTACATTAGGTGATCACTAAATGGGCAAGAAATAAAACAAGTGAATTTGTTGCCTGGGGAGGAGACACTGCTGGAGAATGACAGAGGAGGATGGGGCTTGCTCTGTAGGATGATCCACTGTTGTGTGGGATGTATTATCTCTAAATTGTGTGTAGTGTCTCTAAAATGGGAAGTAGTGGAAAAGACAGGATAGGGCTTGATTGCTGCCTCAGGGAGCTTCGGAACCCACTGCTTGCATATCATACCAGCACACATGTGGATGAAGATTTGTCAAAATCTGCATTCGTCCACATGTAAGATGATGGTACACATAAAGAAGGGTATAACAATGCTATCTGAATGGGGTTTTGTTAGTTTTACAGTGATAAACCTTTGAGAACTAAACTACTAACTAAATGTGCACTAACAATGTGTATTACACCAAATAAATGGAAACCTATTTTCTCTTTAGGCCTTAGATGAGTTTGCTACTAAATTGATTCAGAATAACCATTATGCCATGGATGATGTTGCTACACGCAGAGATGCTGTAAGTATCTAAAATGCATTTGTACTCTAGACTTCATATCATAGTTTTCTTTATTATTTTAAATGTTATGACTGCGGTACACAACAACAAATAGAGCAGAGCTCTCAAAAAAGTATGAGTGATGGTTCTTAAGGATTTAAAAACCTTTAAACCTTTACTTCTTCTGTTTCAGCTCCTGAGCCGCCGCAATGCCCTTCATGAGAGAGCCATGTACCGCCGTGCTCAGCTGGCAGATTCCTTCCACCTGCAGCAGTTCTTCCGAGACTCTGATGAGTTGAAGAGTTGGGTTAATGAAAAAATGAAAACCGCAACAGATGAGGCATATAAGGTAGACACAAAGACAAATGTTAAGAGTCGTTTTAAGGCTATACCAGGCTTAATATAATCAGCCTAATGACATGAAGCAATGTCAGCCAAAACGTTGCTGTAGTAGGCAGTATTAATGGCAACAGAAGAAGCTGTGATTTCTCCCTGACCCCAAGGGGGATTTTCCCATCATGCTGTAATCATGCTTATTGGACAGCTTAAGTGTTCTGATTTAGGCATACTTTTGGCACCAAATCCTCTGGCAATATCTTGGCATGTAAATGAGTGTACTCTAATTTTAAAGTTCTTCAGAGACCTATAGATACTAATTTTGGACTGAAGGGTTCTTTTCTTTCTTCATCTGTAGGACCCATCAAACTTGCAAGGTAAAGTTCAGAAACATCAGGCTTTTGAAGCAGAGCTTTCTGCTAATCAGAGTCGTATTGATGCACTGGAGAAAGCTGGCCAGAAGTTGATAGATGTCAATCACTACGCATCTGATGAAGTGGCAGCTCGCATGAATGAAGTTATCAGCTTGTGGAAAAAGCTTCTGGAGGCCACTGAACTCAAAGGTACGACTTGCTCAGAAGAATATGGCTAATTCTTTTGCTAGAGAGTTTATCTGGGAGAAGACAGGAAGGGAGTTAAATGAAGTGGAAACCATAAGTCATTTTTTCCTCTTGCTGCTCTGTCTCGGTCAGGTATAAAACTGCGTGAAGCCAATCAACAGCAGCAGTTTAATCGCAATGTGGAAGACATTGAGCTGTGGCTGTATGAAGTGGAGGGGCACTTGGCTTCTGATGATTATGGAAAAGACCTTACTAATGTGCAGAATCTTCAGAAGAAACATGCCCTGCTAGAGGCAGATGTTGCTGCCCATCAGGTAGGGGAAATCATTTTTCTTCTTGTCATTTCAGATTTCCTCACTCAGAAGTGCTCACTCCAGAGACCTTAGCAGGTCTGGATTGTCATGAATTTTGTAGCTTTGGGCTTTACAGCTTATTTATCAAAAATAATTTTGAACTGAAACATAAATGTATGTCTCTAAGAGCAGTATCCTTGTGCCTTTGACAAAAATAAGCTTTTGAAAAAGGAAAATGATTCCATTTTGGTTGCTGCTGACAGCACAGCATTGTTTTGTGCTGTGAATATCAACTTAAAATGATGTGCTGTGCATTGCACAGGAAATAATTCTGTCTTAGACTGTCCATTTGCAAACAGCTTATTCTTGTTCGGTTTGTTTTCATTATAGCTTTAAGAAATGGAAGAGGAGGGAGAACAGATCAGTTTTGAAATACAGCACTTCACAGCAAATGTTTCCTTCGTTTGCTGGTGATCTTTTAGGGGAATTAAATCCACAGCAAGACAGTCAACAAAATCTGGCTTTCCACAAGTGGAGCTGCCAGTTAATTGCTCTAACAATTGAGAAATGGCTTGTGTAGAGTAGCACATCTGTAAGGTTAATGTAACTTCAAGAACCTTTATTTTATGAAATTGACAAACTGAAACCGATTGCATTTGCATAACATTGAATATTATCCGGGGTCTCATCACCAAAATGATTGCACTGGCAGCATGCAGCTGAAGTTCTCTTCTTCTGTCACAAGATAACTTACTTAGACCTGAAAATATTTACAGTTGCTGCAGCCATCTTAGAGAAACCCTGACATAATGTTATTGCTGGGTTAATTTTAGGATCGCATAGATGGCATTACCATCCAGGCACGCCAGTTCCAGGATGCTGGGCACTTTGATGCTGACAATATCAAGAAGAAGCAAGAAGCTTTAGTAGCTCGTTATGAAGCTCTGAAGGATCCTATGGTAGCTCGAAAGCAGAAACTTGCAGATTCTCTTCGCCTGCAACAGCTCTTCCGTGACATTGAGGATGAAGAGACCTGGATTAGGGAAAAAGAACCCATTGCAGCTTCAACAAACCGAGGTTGGTCCATCCTGGTATCTCCAGGATTTCAGTGACAAGATTGCTCTGTTATAATCTGTCTCTTTATGGAAGATTCCCTAGAAATTTCTGAAACATGTATTGTAATTGCCATTGCCTGGAGTTGCAGATTTGCCATCACCCATGGTTCTTTAACTGTTACATTACTTCTAAAATTTGAATGGGTAGCAGTTTTCAGTGCTCTGTCTTCATTGCGATAGCACTTACTCTGCGAGTTGTCTAGTGCTGGTTGTAGCTGCCTTGGCACTTTTGGTTAATGTCCCAGAATGAGCTGATGAACTGTTTTCTTTCTTTCAGGCAAAGACTTAATTGGTGTCCAGAATCTGCTAAAGAAGCACCAGGCTTTGCAGGCAGAAATTGCAGGCCATGAGCCTCGCATTAAAGCAGTCACACAGAAGGGAAATGCTATGGTTGAAGAGGGTACGTCTCAGTGGTTTTAACTCCTCCTCTTTCACAAATCCAAAAGTCTTAATACTGGACTTTGGTCCTGCATGGTTAAGGATCAGTGCCTGTTTTTATCCAGATACCTGCTGGCAGGATGAATTTCTGCTCATTCTTCAACCTAAAACTAGATTCCTTGATGGGAACCTGTCATGATTTTCACAGACATGCATTTGCTCTTGACGGGCACGTGTGATGCCTGTATTCAGCACCTTTGTGCCTATGATATTTAGTCTCCATTTTTAAAGGCTTATATCAGAGATACATAGTCATGAGGTGAGAGAGAATCCTTCACAAAGACGAGTTATTCCTGCTTTTAAATAGTAGGCATCTTTATTTCTAACTGGGTGTTCTTAACACCAGATTACTCAAATTCCCCGATTCCAGGATTCAGAATGCTGTCTGAAATAAAATTTGTTTGCTGCCAAAACTCTGCCACTGGAAAAAGGTGGCCTTTTGTGTTGTATCACTGAGAAGAAATATTATGATGTGGCTTGTTTGGTTTAGAGTGATTCAAATGTTCCTAGTACAGCTTGATTGACAGGTACAATGTTTTCCAGTCTTAAGGCAAAAGAACAAGCTGAGTTGTGCTTTCATTATTCTAGGCAGAATAGGCTATGTAGGTTTAAATGGGTCTAATTTCTGTGACTTCCAAGAAGTACAGGTAATCTTCAGTTCCCTCTCCTTCTGTTGCATAGGACATTTTGCAGCTGAGGATGTGAAAATCAAACTGAACGAGCTAAACCAGAAGTGGGACTCACTGAAAGCTAAAGCATCTCAACGTCGACAAGACCTAGAGGATTCCCTGCAAGCTCAGCAGTACTTTGCTGATGCTAATGAGGCGGAATCCTGGATGCGGGAAAAGGAGCCCATTGTAGGCAGTACAGACTATGGAAAAGATGAAGACTCTGCTGAGGTATTTGAGATTGTTTGAATCTGTTTTGCATAAACACAGCAAGGATTTGTCCAGTGGTAAAAAAATGAGTTCTGCTGGTTTTGAGATTCGTACAAAAAAATGGCAGAAGACTCTTGCATCAAGCTGAATTTTGGCTCTGAATCAAAAGATGGTAGTTTTCCCTGTGTCTTCATTAGTGTACATGAAATTTTCCTCTTCAGTATATTAAATCAGTTGTGAGGAAACTTTACATTTACTTTGCATCAGCTCTTTTACAGGGTTTTTTTGCTTGGTTTTGATAAAGTATAACGAGCCTAATGTCAGCAAATTCTTTATGTGATGTTGCATTTCAGTATGAGTCTGTTTTTTAATAGTTCATTGCTCTGGAAGTAATGTTTTGTCTAGAGTTATTTTCCTAGTGTCATTCTGCAGTCAAACACGACATCCCAGACACTGCTGACTGACAGCTCATCAAATTGAAGTGCAGTTTAAAGGCATACTTTCAAACTTAACACTATTTCCAGCGTGATGCTTGGTATTCCTGGTCAGAACAAAAGAATGTTTCTGAGATAAGGTAGAGTGAAAGCACCAGAAGCATTTAGAGCACTATCTAGACTGTGAATAAATAGAAGTGGTTATTCTCATGAGAGTCACAAGACTGGCAGCTCTGAAAAACCCACATTCCCTGTGTATGGAGCCAAAGTATGTATTTTAAGCAGAGAGGTATTTGTAAAATGGTGTACATGTTGTTTTTGTCTTTCACTTTCAGGCTCTTCTGAAGAAACATGAAGCTTTGATGTCTGATCTTTCTGCTTACGGCAGTAGTATACAGGCTTTAAGGGAACAGGCCCAGTCATGCAGGGTAAGGAAAGATGCTAATCATGTTGCTGAAATTCTTGGGTCAGCAAAAGGTAAAGACAAAGCCTAATAACAGTTGTTGTTTTTGAGAACCTATTGCAGACTGTACTTGATTTTCTCAAAAGAATTAGTGGTCTGTTTTTATAATTATAACAGACAGCTGTGTTGCCTCAGAAGAAGACAGTGTAATGTGGTTTTCAGAGTTTGAGCCCAGACAGCACCTCAGCTAAGTCTATCTGCATTTGTTTCAACAGGAATAATTTTAAGGCATTACAGTAGCTTTAACTAAGGCTGTTAGGACAACTACATTGATTGTCATAAACATGGAATAACTCATTTTTCTTGTGCTTCTTCTTCGTTAGCAACAAGTTGCTCCCACAGATGATGAAACTGGAAAAGAGCTTGTTCTGGCACTCTATGATTACCAAGAGAAGAGTCCTCGGGAGGTGACTATGAAAAAGGGAGATATCCTCACCTTACTCAACAGCACCAACAAGGTACACTCTTGCCTTCTGGTTGTTGTTAAGCTGCTTGGCTCACTTGGGGTTGTGTGCTCTGCGGAGCGTGTTTTGGGCTTCTTTTGGGTTTGTCTTGTTAAAAAGAGCGTTCAAAGAAGTTAAAAGAATTTGCATGTTTAGTCCCTGTTCCCTTTCAGTGCTTCAGCATACCTCTTCAGCTCATTCTCATGACTCCTCTATAGCTTCCAAGTCAGATAAACAACATCTGTTGTAGGGCATGTGTCTGTCAGAAAACTTGTTTTCCTATTGTTGAGGAATTTTTGACCGACACAAGGGGAGACATGGAAGCTAACAAATAGGTGTCTTCAGGAAATTGTTTGAAACAGTCTCCATCAAAAGAGCAAACCGTTGGGAGCATCACTGGTTTAGTGGTCATTTTGGGTTTTTTTTCTTTCCAGGACTGGTGGAAGGTGGAAGTTAATGACCGTCAGGGATTTGTACCAGCTGCCTATGTGAAAAAACTGGATCCTGCCCAATCTGCATCCCGAGAGAATCTCCTGGAAGAGCAGGGCAGCATAGCATTGCGACAGGAGCAAATTGACAACCAGTAAGATTTAACTGATGACATATGACACCCATTCAGCATTTGCTGGCTTGGCCGTTGCCTCACATATGCCAGAAGCTGAGGTTGCTGCCTGTTACACTAGGGAGTAATTAATTGGAGCAGAACAATTGGCTTCTTTACCAGGGCACCATATTCAGTCATTTTATTCCTATTCTAAATTTTCTTACTGCTTTTCACATTTTTTAACTGTAAAACTCATGACACTAGAGCTCAACTTGCTGTCTGACCTCAGTATTTTGTGTTCCTTTTGTTGTTGTACTTAACAACTTAAAACTTGTTTGTGAGTTGTATCTGTCCTAAGCAGCTCTTGTATTTGTAATTGTCACTTCTTAATGTTTGATCTGTTCTGAAAAGCTTTCTTAAATTTGGTTTCATGAAGTACAGTGCCCTCCCTATACAGGGCTGCCTCTGGAGGTGACCTCCTTAGGAGCTGTGACTTCTTTGGTGCTAGCTCATTACTTGTGCTCCCGAAATGTTGTGCCATTATGGGCTAAAAAGTGTCCCCTCCTTTTTGAGGAACGTGCCATTGCAAATAGAGAAGGCTGTGTGACTGCTTGGTAATGCCCTCCTAAAGCACATGGTAGTTAGAGATTAGTGCAAGCAAGGGCTGTGGGTGATAGCTGTGAGCTACTGGCTCATCTTATCAAGCCATTTGGAAGCCAAAGCTGAAAGTTTTACGCATACTCCCATCTGTTTGCACAGCTATGCTGTCATTCTACATGAGAATATCTTCCCACTCACTTGTTTTGAGTCACCAGTTATTACAGTGACATACAGTAATAACTTCCTTTAGCTCTAGAATTAAAAAGCAAAAAGCTTGTACCAGTGAGAAGAAAGGATGCTGGAAAACTGACACATTACTCAGGATTTTAATAATGTGTAATTTTCTCTATGGATTTTCATGCTGCTTTTAAGAACTACAACAGGGGTTCCATATTTTAGAGCCAAGGAGAGGAGGCCACTGTTTTAGTCTACAGTTGCATGGCACAATGACCAGGAAATGAGGAGACCTTATAGAGAGAGTTGCACTGTATTGTTGAAGTTTCCTTATGTGAATTGTACTCCTGGTCTTATTTGCTTTGTTTGCTTCTGAATGACACCTAATTTTCTCCATTTAAATGTGAACTCTTAACCATCTCCTACCACAGACAACCCATGGATGGAGCTGCTGCTTTCATTATTTTTGTTAATCTGACTAATTTTTTGCATGCATTTGCTGTGCTCCCTCTGTCTGTGCAGGACTCTTATAACTAAGGAAGTCGGCAGTGTATCTCTGCGTATGAAACAGGTCGAAGAACTGTGAGTAGGATTAGTCCTTTCTAAACCATGCTGTCTCCATACTGTCACTGTCCATTCTCCTTTGTTTGTTTATTTCTTTGGGAAAGCTGCTCCAAAGAGACATAAAGGAAGCAATTTGTGATGTGAATTGGTTTCAGTGTAGATGAGTGTCATGGTACGTGTTCTTTATAGCCAGATACCCAGCCAGCTGCTTATGTTGTTGGTCACCTCTGTGCTGCTGAATGGATTGATATTGTTTTCCATTATGCTGATTTTGCTTACCAAATGAGGCTTTAGTGATACCTAGACTGTTCTCTTTAAAAAAAATAATCTCTTCTCTGAGGTGCAGACAGAATACTAGTTTGTTATGTATATATAATATATATACATGAAGTGTTTCATCACATGAGTGTCTTAGAGCTTGGAAAGGGCGGAGCTGCCCTAGTTTATTGTATAAAATAACATGCTGAATAATCCAAAAGCATTAGTTTATTTACATAGGATGACTGGGTTTTATTATGACAGTAATTTAATTTTCAAACTTGTGCTCATATCTCCTGAAAAAATACCAAGTTTGTGTTGTGAGTCTTGGAAGTTGCTGGGAGATCCAAAGCAGTGGTGTTCATCAGCTGTGCCTGGCAGACTTTTCATAGGGAATGTGTTTCTTGAGGATCAGAAGGGAAAGTATTATGTTAATCTCTGAAGTGTTGCAAAGCAGCTTTGAGGTGAGGTCTGCTTCTAAAGGAATTTTGCCCTAGATCCTCTATGAGCTTCACAAGTATTTAATATCTAAAATTGTATGCTGAGGCAAACATCTGCAGTTAGGGCAGGCTTCAAAACAGGGTTTTCCTCAAGTCAGGGTAGGATGTTGCTATTCAAACCTAATACAAAAGATTCCTAGTTCCATTCTGTTCAGTCTTAAACCAGGGTAGGCAGGAGACTGCAAAGTCGCTGCTTCCATGAAAGACTTAGAGTTGATTATCAGCTTGATGTGTAGACATTACAGCCCAGGGTATCAAGGATTTTCTTTAACAGACTTTGTCCTCTCTGAGTTACTTGCTAGGAAAATGCTACATCATTGAACTCTTCACGCTGGGAGGTGTAACTGCTCAGTGTTTGCCTCTGTGCTCCAAGTTGGGAAATGAAAACATTATAGGGCTGCCCTTTCCCAACTTGAGGCTCCTGCAGGTATCTCAGCAGTGTCATCCATTATTTGATTTAATAACACCAAAATGAATATCTTCATGCCTTAATAATGTGAATCAGTTGCTGCTGTTGATCACTGTAGTCGAACAGCGTGCAATCTGATGGAGGATATAAAAAGCCACCCAGATGCATCCAGAATATCTCATCTTCCAGAGTACTTAAAATAGGGTAGGAGTAAGAATGGATGTGGCTTTTCTGAATGCAGGTTCTTTAAAAACAAGCATTATGCATTGCTGAAGAAATCTGTAATTCAGTACCAATGACTAAAGCTTCTGTTGGCTTTTATTCAGCAATAGCTGGGGAAAGGTCTTGTAGGATGGATCCTCTGTATTTAGCTGGTTGCCAGGACTCAAAGAGGAGTCTGGTTTTCTTGTGGTTTTAAAACATTGACTGCTCTTTTGAGGTTTATTTGCCTCTTCAAGCCAATTTATACATTTTAGAGGTTTTACTTTGCATTTATTCTCATGTAAATGAGAAGTAATTTCACTGATGATGTTGGGAATTCCACCGGTATAAAAACAGTGTATGTGAAATGAGTTTCATGGATTTCCAGTTTAATGTAGTCGTGTTATCAAGAAAAGAATACCTTTTAAAAAATATTCAGCAAATTTTGCAATGAATAATGGCTAGATGAAACATTTATGTCCAAAAGCTGGGAGGTAGTGGATTTTAATGATTTAATAGCAAACTTGACATACTATAGGGAAATACCTCTTGTAAAGCAAGACGTATGGAGCCATTCCTGCACTGCAGTGCTGTTGTAGCTTGAGAACCTATCCTGACCTCAGCTTTGATTTGGGTTTGTTTTTACCCAGTGAAGTGTTGCATGTGGAAGATTTCATTTTGGTGTGCACATCCATGTAGAGGAGAGACACATACAGTTTACATCCACCTATGTACAAGTAGAACATACTGTACAAGTGTAGATTGCAGGGATTTCCCACATCTCTGGTAAGACCAGTACTTGGTAACTTACTGTGACTCTGCTCACTGTAACCTGCCCACACTTTCCTTTTCTGCTTGTTCCAGGTATCACTCTCTTCTTGAGCTGGGAGAAAAGCGGAAAGGCATGCTGGAAAAAAGCTGCAAAAAGTTCATGCTTTTCCGTGAAGCCAATGAGCTTCAGCAGTGGATCAATGAGAAGGAAGCTGCTCTCACAAGTGAGGAAGTGGGTGCTGATCTGGAGCAGGTGGAGGTGCTACAGAAGAAGTTTGATGATTTTCAGAAGGTGTGTTGTAATGATGCTTAATGGGTATGTTAGTTTTGCCCTTTCCCGTCAGGTTTTCTGATCATATATCTCTGATAATCCTTAATAGTTGAGAAGGAAACATAACTTTGATTGAAATAAGGAGATATATGTGTTTTCTTTTATGATGATAGAGAGAATTCCACATTCAAAAGTCTTCAGTTTGCTTACAGTCTCCAGGTTGCTACATGCTTCACAGCTCCCAGAGGACTGGAAGTTCTCTTTCAGAACATTCAAATATAGAATCTGCCAAGATCTGGAGGAATTTCATTTTGTGTAAAGCATAACCTTTGGTTAAGTCTTCCTTTTCGTTGAAAGGAAAGATCCATTTTGATTTCCATCTGTTCATTTTTCTCCCAAGATGAGAAAAACATCATTCTGTGCTTCAGAATGCTTGTAGGCTTTCAGCTTGCTTTTTTTATCCCCCAATATTTGCAACACTAGTTGGGGTTTTATTTATGGTTTTATTAATTTATTTTATTTGCATGAGATAGGAAAGAATTCCTTGTGCAGATGTATTTATTCTGTCCACTTTGATAAGATACTGAGCTCTGAAATGCAAAGATGCCTGACCTTACACATTTGAAAAGACAGTTTTGTAGACGTTACCATGTTTACAGCCTGAAAGTTAGCTAACTTGAGCCAACCTTTTATTGTAGGTGAGAAGATGATAGCAGTTACAGGTTTGGGTTCTTTTAAATTAAGCTAATGGTTGAAAGTAGAATCTGTCACCTGTTAGAATTTAATTACAAGTTCTCTACTACTGCTTTTTTTAACCAAGTTCCTTTTCTGCTTTACAGAAAGCTCTGTATCAGTCTGTTTGGCTGAAAGCATTTAAGTGTCATAGTAAAATTACTTTTTAAATTGGCTCTTAGCTAATTCATGCAGTAATAGGGATACTAGCTTTTGATCTTCATGGTGGTGGTAATGTTGTATACCTGGCAGTTTAAAATGTACTCCAATCCTGATTATTTCATTAACTCTGTGTATGTAGAACTCTGGCAGTGAGTTTCTTTAATGTGTTGATGCCTGGTGCTGGCAGCCAGGGTTTCTTGGTGCGGGCTCTCATGCATTATATATTCAGTGGTGACTGTCAGGGTCAGGCCTGCTGAAATCCTGCTGTTTATAAACCATGTTAATGCTCTGATATTTTACTCTCCTGTGCAGGATTTAAAAGCTAACGAGTCACGTCTGAAGGACATCAACAAGGTTGCACATGACCTGGAGTCAGAAGGGTTGATGGCAGATGAAGTGCAAGCAGTACAGCAACAGGTCCACTTTTTCTCTGCCTTAGTCTAATCCTTTTGAGAAGCACAAGACTTTCTTCCATTTGTCTGTTGTCTTCTGCTTTGTGTGTCATTGCATGGTTCTAGCTGTTGATCTGTATCATCTCTATCAACTGGTGTGATAATATTGGTATTCTAACCAGGGATATTTAATGCCTGCTGTTTAATGTGGCCACCACAGGGGTACCCTTTAAACTGTTTATTTTCAAATAGTGCTATAACAAATTGCACCACTTAGAGGCTTATTTTTCTTCTTGGAAGAATAAAAAGGCTCTAAAATAATGCTAAAAGTCATGGAGAATCCATGCATTAGCTTTGTTTCATAGAAATCGGAAATTTCAGCCTTTATTAGCAGGAAAAGTGGTGCAGTGGGCAAAAAAGAAAATAGAGCTCAACTTACAGTGGAGGGGGTTTGTTGGGTTTTCTGTTTTGAGGGGTGGTTTTTTTTTTTTTAGTAACCTATTTTTTTGCTAGCTTTTCACATACTTGTGCTGTTATAAATAATTGCTGTTTATTTGCTGAGCTCTAAGACAATGTGCTGCAGTAGGTGGCTGAGTACTCGAATTCATTTCTGCTACCTGTTTAGTTGTGCAAGCGCTATTTGGCTTAATGACACACTGGTAACCAATTTGTGGAAGGGTGGAAGCATATCTCCTGCTGGCTTCCTTTTCTCAAAAACACTTCTTTCCATTAGAAAATAACAAGTTGTTTCTGTTTGTCCTTTTTCCTTTGCAGGAGGTCTATGGTATGCCCAGGGTAAGTGTTAATTTCTTGAGATGGTGTGGCAATTAGAACAGGTTTGGGATGTACAAGTAGAAGTTCAGCCATATTTGTAGCTCATTTCCATGAAGGAACTCAATAATGACTTTGAAAGGACATAAAAAGATTGTCTTATCTTTGATCCCTTTATTTCCTGAATGTCTTACCCCACATCACAAACCAGTGCAGAGCAGGGTAACCCCAAATTATGCAAATAGCTACCTGTAGAAATAGATTTACTTTGTTAAGAACGTGGAGAACTTAAAAAGTATCAGAATATGCTAAAAGTCTTTGAGATTTTGCTTCCTATTTAAAGCTGTTTCTTCACATTTTCAAACAGGATGAAACTGATTCTAAGACAGCCTCTCCTTGGAAGGTAGGTGTCATTACTTAGTAGCATACAAGAGGGAAGTAAAAGAAAAAGTACAGCACATCATCTTTTTTAGACCATACACCTTCTCACAGACCCTCTTTTCCTCTCTTTTCCTTTTCTAATTCCCTCCCCTTTTTAAGACTGTTGACAAAGTGATTTTAATGGTGACCTAGTGTCAGCAAGTGTTTGAATTGGGGTTGATTTAGGGTTAGTGACTTTGATTTCATTTTGTTTGCTTGCTTCAACAAGCGTGTTACTGAAGTTTAGGCATTCAGCAGGAGTTCACCTTCCTAAGCCTGCACACAAATTCTCTCACCTATATAGAGATGTCACATAGGTAGTACTCTTTGGTTTAAAAATAAAAGCCATGTAGCCCTAGTGAAGTGACTGTCAGCTCTCAATTTGCAGGTCTGACAATGAGAATAGCTGAGATAGGTTTCCAGTAGTATTCCGTAGCCATAGAAATTGCCAACAGTCCATTTTTTACCTCTGCTGCAGAACTCCATTTGGTTTTGAGCTTAACTGATTGCAGTTTTTATACCAACGTTTTTAGGTGTTACATGGCCACTAGATGCGCAATAGTCCCTGTTCGCTTAGCGTGAGTTCTTTCTTTATGTAGTGAGCAGAAAGAAATGTTTTTATTCCTGAAAGTCAAAGCCATTTATATCAATATTCCTTTAGTAAGGAATATGTTGTATGTGTATAGCAGTATATTTGTCTTCCATTATTCATCTCTAGCTCATATTCTATGATAGCTAGAAGCCTTTCTCCATTCATTAATGGCTTACAATAGAATAGCTGTCACTCGCTGATGCACAGAAATATCTTCAGTATCTTAAACACTATCCAACATTGTGCTTTTCTGTAGTATTTCATTCCCATGGTTCATGTCTTACATCACCCTGTTAGACTTAAAGCTGCTTGTACATCTTTTAAGCTGTGGGAATGTGGGGAAAACCGGATAAGTGCAATATTTTGACAGCATTGTAGAAAATGCAGCCATGTCAGCAAGAATTGGTGATTTTCTGAATTAGTTTTTTTCCTACACAGGGTGTACATGTGTATGTTGACTCCTAAGAGTCCCCTAATAACTTAGCAAACTAAGTTTTTCTGTATGTGTATCTGCAAGGGGATGAGCTTTGGAAATAATGCAGCACTGTGAGAAAAGTAGATTGCGTGTTGGAGAGAATTGGTTGTCATTTTTCTGATAAGCCTTCACCAGTTTTCATTATGTTCTAAAAATATCTGAATTCACTGTTAAGTTGATTTTTGTTAAAAACTCAGCCAACAGCCAAACCATTTGGGTGGTAATATTTTTTTCCTTTCCCATGGCTAAGAGCTTGGGGTTTAATTCACTCACTGAGTGCTGCCTTTAAATTGTCCTCTTCCTTGTCCATATTAAGACTGTTGTTTTGTTCTCTATTTACACTAACAGCATAGTAATCAGTTGTGGATTTCTAACTATTCTTACTCTGATCTATAGAGTACCTTTGGTATTGCAGCTAATTATTCTTAGTTGCTTTTGTAAATCAATTGTATTGATTTTCTTACGGTTTGTTTCTCTTTTCATCTTAAAAAACATAAAGAATTCAACAGTTTTCACTAAACCTTTAAAATCTAGGGTGTTTCTTTCTTCCTGCAGTTTGTAGGCTTATATTTTACAGTATAGTTTTGACCTAGGCCAAATTACTATGGGTTTTTAAGGAGTTTTCAGTCTGATTTTGCTCCAGTTGCTTGGAGTTGACTTTAATGCTGCATTTTTTATTTCTTCCCTTTCCATACAGTCTGCACGTTTGATGGTACACACGGTGGCAACCTTTAACTCGATCAAGGTAATAATACAGCTTTTTCTGAGCTGATTTTAAAGTGGAGAACGTTTGTTACCCTCCCCTTCCAGAGTTTTTATTACTCTTTATAAACCCTTTTGAATCAACTTATTGAAAGAAGCATTGACAGCCTATTGACAGAAACATTGATTGCCTTTGCTGTCAATGACGAATAGGCAGCATTTGCTTCTCAGGTTACATCAGTATCTTATATGCATAAAATCATTTGGGTTTACATCTCAGGGGAAGCCCTTAAAAATACTTAATTAGGCTACGTTCTTCTGGAACTGAGCAGAAGAAAGTAGCGTTCACCTGTAGGGAAAAGCCAGTCTTGGCTATCTTATTGATAGTCAGGTGAAAGGTCAGTCTTGCCTATCTCATTGACTTCTTGATGAAGTTTATTTACTGTAAATGGAGAGTGCAGATGAAGGGGTTCTCGGCACGTTTGCAGCAGAGTCTGCAGTGTCCATGGGGCTGCTTTGCTTGCAGGAGCTGAATGAACGCTGGAGAGCTCTGCAGCAGCTGGCGGAGGAGCGGAGCCAGCTCTTGGGCAGTGCCCATGAGGTGCAGAGGTTCCACAGGTGAGCTCTTTGGTCTTTACAGGCATTAGAGTCCTAAGTATGGTGCCAGTGCCAGGGCATGGCAGGGGTGTCTGCTGGCAGGAGAGGGAAGATGGTGAGGGAAGAGCAGGGGTGGCCATGAGGGGAGAGAGGAGATCATGAGGGGAGAGCAGGGGTGGCCATGAGAGGAGATCGTGAGGGGAGAGCAGGGGCGGCCATGAGGGGTGAGAGGAGATCATGAGGGGAGAGCAGGGGTGGCCATGAGAGGAGATCGTGAGGGGAGAGCAGGGGTGGCCATGAGGGGTGAGAGGAGATCATGAGGGGAGAGCAGGGGCGGCCATGAGGGGTGAGAGGAGATTGTGAGGGGAGAGCAGGGGCGGCCATGAGGGATGAGAGGAGATCATGAGGGGAGAGCAGGGGCGGCCATGAGGGGTGAGAGGAGATCGTGAGGGGAGAGCAGGGGCGGCCATGAGGGATGAGAGGAAATCGTGAGGGGAGAGCAGGGGCGGCCATGAGGGGTGAGAGGAGATCGTGAGGGGAGAGCAGGGGTGGCCATGAGGGGTGAGAGGAGATCGTGAGGGGAGAGCAGGGGTGGCCATGAGGGGTGAGAGGAGATCGTGAGGGGAGAGCAGGGGCGGCCATGAGGGGTGAGAGGAGATTGTGAGGGGAGAGCAGGGGCGGCCATGAGGGATGAGAGGAGATCGTGAGGGGAGAGCAGGGGCGGCCATGAGGGGTGAGAGGAGATCGTGAGGGGAGAGCAGGGGCGGCCATGAGGGGTGAGAGGAGATCGTGAGGGGAGAGCAGGGGCGGCCATGAGGGGTGAGAGGAGATCGTGAGGGGAGAGCAGGGGCAGCCATGAGGGGTGAGAGGAGATCGTGAGGGGAGAGCAGGGGCGGCCATGAGGGGTGAGAGGAGATCGTGAGGGAGAGCAGGGGCGGCCATGAGGGGTGAGAGGAGATCGTGAGGGGAGAGCAGGGGCAGCCATGAGGGGTGAGAGGAGATTGTGAGGGGAGAGCAGGGGCGGCCATGAGGGGTGAGAGGAGATCGTGAAGGGAGAGCAGGGGTGGCCATGAGGGGTGAGAGGAGATCGTGAGGGGAGAGCAGGGGCAGCCATGAGGGGTGAGAGGAGATTGTGAGGGGAGAGCAGGGGCGGCCATGAGGGGTGAGAGGAGATCGTGAGGGGAGAGCAGGGGCGGCCTTGAGGCGTGAGAGGAGATCGTGAGGGGAGAGCAGGGGTGGCCATGAGGGGTGAGAGGAGATCGTGAGGGGAGAGCAGGGGTGGCCATGAGGGGTGAGAGGAGATCATGAAAGGCAGAGGAGGGATGGCCATGAGGGGAAGATCATGAGGGGTGAGAGGAGATCGTGAAGGAGAGAGCAGGGGTGGCCATGACAGGTAAGGAGACAGGAGAGGCAGCCATAAGGGGTGAGGGAAAATCGTGAGGGGACAGGAGAGGTGGCCATGAGGGATGAGGGGAGAGCAGGGGCAGCCATGAAGGGAAGATCATGAGGGGAGAGGTGATGCGGTCATGAGTGGGGGAGAGAGGTTGGCCATGAGGAGTGAGGGGACAGGAGAGGCAGCCATGAGGGATGAGGGGACAGCAGGGAGAGCCATGAAAGGTGAGGGGAGATCACGAGGGGTGAGCAGGGGCAGCCATGAGGGGAGATCATGGGGGGACAGGAGGGGTGGCCATGAGGGGTGGGGGCAGCAGCCATATAGTGTGGGCCATTATGGGGGGTGGCTGTGACTGGAAATCATGAGGAGAGAGCAGTTTGCCCTTAGTGACACGCTTAGGGGTGGGCTTGACAGTCCTGGGGTAACAATGATCTTAAAGGTCTTTTCCAACCTAGCTGATTTTGTGGTGGGACCAACGCTAAACAAATCATACATCAATCTCCAGTTTGTTCAGTGGAAGTTAGACCACCAGTGGTCCCACAAGAATTCTTTATATTCTTCCTAGGAAAAAAAGGCAGATTTGTTAGCATGAAAACATGAAATTGCTGTGGGCTTGGGAGGTCTGGACTGCTGTTCTATTTCACCAAAGTTCACTTGTGTCATCTTGTGAAATAACTTAATAGAGCCATTAATGATGTGAGCTTTTCTGGTATCATGCATGGTATCAGAGATGCCTAGTATAACCTTCAGTTTAATTCACTTTTTGCCTTCCCTTCACTCGAATCAGAGATGCTGATGAAACAAAAGAATGGATAGAGGAGAAGAATCAAGCATTAAATACAGACAACTATGGGCACGACTTGGCCAGCGTGCAGGCTCTGCAGCGCAAACATGAAGGCTTTGAGAGAGACTTGGCAGCTCTGGGAGACAAGGTGGGATTATGAGGAAGACAAAGCCAAAAGCATTCTTCTTATCTAGCAGAAATGACTGAACCATAGAAAGGAACCTTTTTGTCTTTGTTGTGTTCATTTCCCTTTCTCTAATTCTAGGTGAATTCTCTTGGGGAAACTGCTCAGCGCCTGATCCAGTCACATCCGGAATCTGCTGAAGATCTCCAAGAAAAATGTACTGAGTTGAATCAAGCTTGGAATAGTCTTGGAAAACGTGCTGACCAGCGCAAAGAGAAGCTTGGAGATTCTCATGACCTGCAGCGATTCCTCAGTGACTTCAGGTAAAGATGCTATTCCCCTTCTCCCCCAGTTTGTCTGTCTGGTATGTTATTAGTGAAGTATATATGGCTTATTGTTGTACAGGAGTATTTGGAGGGGAGGTGCGTGTCCAAAAAGGACTGTTTTCCCTGTTCTGACTTATTTCCATGGAGGGAAGGGAAAATTTTCTACTAATGTGTGTTCCCAGGGACCTTATGTCTTGGATCAATGGAATCCGGGGTCTGGTCTCCTCAGATGAACTTGCAAAGGATGTGACTGGAGCTGAAGCTTTACTGGAAAGGCACCAGGTATGTGGAAGATAAGTGTATATTAAAAATCAACAAATGTTTCTTTTCCTGACACTTTGCATCTAGAGTTCCAAAAATAGATTAGTTCCAGCTCTGCCATCTGTTTGTTTGGTAACGCATCTCTGTACCTTTCAGGAACACCGCACTGAAATCGATGCAAGGGCTGGCACTTTCCAGGCATTTGAGCAGTTTGGACAACAGCTTCTGGCACATGGGCACTATGCCAGCCCAGAGATCAAGGAGAAATTGGATACTCTAGATCAAGAACGGACGGACCTAGAGAAGGCCTGGGTCCAGCGCAGAATGATGCTAGACCAGTGTCTGGAACTACAGGTACTCTGCTGCACTTCAAAAAGGAAAAGAAGTCCTCCTTTCCTGAGAAAGTTTCTTCTTTTGTAGTGATGAGCAGTGCTGTTGGTCTGCCTTTCTCATGCTTTGGAGTTTTTTCTCCCTAGTTGTTCCATCGAGACTGTGAGCAAGCTGAAAACTGGATGGCTGCCAGAGAGGCTTTCCTCAATACAGAAGATAAAGGAGACTCCCTAGACAGTGTGGAGGCACTCATCAAGAAACATGAAGACTTTGATAAGGCAATCAATGTCCAGGTGAGGAGTGTAGCTGAAGAAAAGGGAAAAGAGTTTAATTTTTCATATGCAGATTATTAGCAAAAGAAGTTACCACCATCTGTGCTTTCTAAAATTCAGTTCTAAATACTTAGCCATTTCAGATCTGCTGCAGAAGCTTAGAAGCAGCTGATGCAGATAAGAATGTTTCACTGCCTACAAACAGTGTAGGAGGAGTGGCAGGTATTTGTGTAAATCCATCTTGAAACAAGAAAAGAAAGCCTTGTTCTGTTCCAGACCCTGCCCACCACTTGACTTTAAGGAACCACAGTTTTAATTTGTGGCTTCTGTTTTTAATAGGAAGAGAAAATTGCTGTCTTACAATCTTTTGCCGACCAGTTGATCTCTGCTGATCATTATGCAAAAGGAGTCATTGCTAACAGACGCAATGAGGTTCTGGACAGGTCAGTATTGCCCTGGGAGATGGGATGCAGATACTGACTGAGAGAGAACGCTCTTTGGCACCATTTTGTAGCTGTTGAACATGATGCTGTGTGCAACCCTGGTTCTTCATTCAACACATGTATGTAATTGCATACAGGTGGCTTCGCCTAAAAGCTCAAATGATTGAAAAGAGGTCAAAGCTGGGAGAGTCTCAAACACTCCAGCAGTTCAGTCGTGATGTGGATGAAATAGAAGCTTGGATCAGTGAAAAGCTCCAGACTGCAAGCGATGAATCATATAAGGATCCCACAAACATCCAGGTGAATATGGTTCTCAGCTGAAAAATCAAAATGTGATTTTGAGCTTTGCAAAGCAGTACTCTGAAAAAATTTGCTCTGAAGTTCTTGTTCAGTAATAACAGAATAATAGACTGTGTTGGACATGGTGTCTGTTTAACAGGGAGAAAATGGAAGTTACATTATGCATGAAAGCAGACCCAAAATAGAGCTCACTTGGTAATTATTGATGCATGTAATTAATAAGATATGGAGTATCTGCAGCAGCAAGTTCCCTGAAGAAACCCTGGAGCTATTCTGTCTTTTTCCTAGCATCTAGATAATAAGGAAATGGAGTTTTGGGTCTGTGAAGTCTCATTTATTTTTCAGTATGAAGGAATAATACTTAAAGTTACCTCTTATGTTCTAATACTGGTTTATGAAGTAGTATGAATGCACTGAACTACTTCTCTCAATCTGTTTTATAGCTTTCCAAACTGCTGGTAAGTAGTTTGGACTAGCCCTGGTATGTGAATTTGTTTTCTTTGTATAGCTTACGTGTGAGCACAAGGTCTGGTTGCAGTCTGTCGCTCCATTCATCAGTTCATGCAATCTCTTTGTTTTCTGTTAGCTCTTGACCTCCATCCAGGTACAGCTATTGGTCTCCATGTCACGGGTGTGGCTTTTTCTTAATGCCTATTCAGCATCATTTATTTCTGTATTCATTTTGCAGGTGTTCTGCATGATCTGTTGAATTTATTTTGCATTTGGGGCTTTTAGCAGTTAGCCCATAGAAAAAAAAATGGGTTTCTATCCTCTTTTTTCAGAAATTTGCCTATTTGGTCCATCATCCTCCTGTCTGAATCTTCAGCACTGATGATTTGACACATGGCATAATGCCAGCTGTTAGCTTGCCTTTGTAGAATCAAATGCTCAAGATGGGAGGTTCAATAAAATGATAGACAGCAGTAGCATTAGAAGGGAATGGTACAGAAGGAACACTCCAGAAAAAGATGTGCCAGCTGGAAGGCTGGCAGGACTTGTAGGAATGCAAGAAGTGAAGTAAAATGAGGATACATTGAAGGAGAAAACAGAACAAAGAGCAGGGAAGCTAACGAGTAAGAAAGGAAGGCATCATCATTGCCACTTCAGGCTGTTGTACATTATTGCTTTTTCTTAGTTGAAAAAACTGATGATTTTATATTAAACCAAAAAGGCTTGTCTGGGATTTGTTTTTCATGGTCATTATGTGGAGATATGCAATTGGCAGATTTTTAATTGAGTTTTACATGTTGGTAAATCTTGCTTTGAAGGATGTTTTTATACTATCAGCATTCAGGATTATTAGTTCCCAAACTAAAGCAGTTCATGCAGAATTTCTCATGCTGGCGCTATAGTATTTTCCATCTTTTATTTTTAAGCTAACATTTCCTTTCATTCCATTCTCTCAGGGCATTGTATCCCCGTGTCCAATGTTACTAGCATTTCCAGTTAATACTTGTAAATTCTGTCTTGGCATTTTTGTGCTATTGTTATCTTCCTGGTGGGTGGATGGATCATGTATATATGAGAGATAACTGCGTACTTCCTCCCACACTAAGGCTCCTGTTGTTCTCATGGTGCTCTCAACTTGGTAGAGAAAAACTCAAATAATTCAGTTATTTTTATAGAGGTTTTTGACTGTTAAATCATTATTTTAATATATAGTGTGGCCATGGATGACTTGGACTAATATCAAAACTGTGCAGAAAGCAGACAGGGTGCAGCGGTCATTTGTCTTCATTACCTGTAGGTAACCCATGGCAGGGGGGTTGGAACTAGGTGATCTTATGGCCTTTCCAACCCAAACCATTCTAAGATTAGGAAGGGAAACAGAAATTTGTGGAATTACTATAGAAGTAGAAAGGATGATGAACTGTGCTTCTGCTTAGGGTATGTGCAGTTGCTGCTTTTCAAGGGTGATGGCAGTGAAAATGGGAAAGGTGCACTTAACAGCTAAGTGTAATGCAGGAACATTGCCTGGGCATCTGTAAAATGCAGATGGATGTTGTCCGAGTTATGTATCAGCTCACTGACAGTTTTGCTAGGTCAAAAGTTTGGTGGTTACTCAGATCAACAAGAGTTACTATATTAGTGAACAGTTAATATTCTTACTGAGACAGGAAACTTCCTTAGATCAAGCTCTATACAAGCCTCTTTATGTCAAGAACTCTTAATGCTGCCCTGTCGACCCATGAGAACAATTTAGGAGCCCTTTGTCCAGTCTCCAACAGTTCTGTTTTTGTCTGGCTCAGAGTAAGCACCAGAAGCACCAAGCCTTTGAAGCTGAGCTCCATGCCAATGCAGATCGGATCCGTGGAGTCATTGATATGGGGAACTCATTGATTGAAAGAGGAGCATGTGCTGGCAGCGAGGATGCTGTGAAGGTAAATAAAAGTCTTAGAAGATTTGCTTAGTGTTTGCTTTGAGAAGTGTTTGGATAATTGTGGATAATTGTCCCTCAACCAAATTTTGTTTTATAGAAGCTTCTCTATTTCAGCTCTGCAGTAGAACTCAGGGTAATCGTTCTGCTTTGTTCTCAAGGGTGGGAAGTTTTCTGATCAATCATGAGGATGTAGAGACCTCATAGCAGCCTTCCAGTATCTGAAGGGGGCCTATAGGGAAGCTGGGGAGGGACTCTTCATTAGGGACTGTAGTGATAGGAGGTAATGGGTTAAAACTTAAACAGGGGAAGTTTAGATTGGATATAAGGAAGAAATTCTTTCCTGTTAGGGTGGTGAGGCACTGGAATGGGTTGCCCAGGGAGGCTGTGAATGCTCCATCCCTGGCAGTGTTCAAGGCCAGGTTGGACAAGGCCTTGGGTGATATGGTTTCAGGTGTCCCTGCCCATGGCAGGGGGTTGGAACTTGGTGATCTTAAGGTCCTTTCCAACCCTAACTATTTTATGATTCTGTGTAAAAGTTGACCTGAATTGTAGCCAGGCAGCACGAAACAGTGACTGTGTAATTGCCTGTCTGGAATCAACAGGCAAACACATGCGTTATTCTGGTTTTGCATTCATCAGAACTTTAGTTTTCAGGTTGCAGCATTTACCTTTTCTATGTTCTGACAGGCACGTCTAGCTGCCCTGGCTGACCAGTGGCAGTTCCTGGTCCAGAAATCAGCAGAGAAGAGTCAGAAACTGAAAGAAGCCAATAAGCAACAGAATTTCAATACTGGAATCAAGGACTTCGATTTCTGGCTTTCAGAGGTAGCTGAGATTTGGATTATTTACTTGCAAGACCTGTTTTTCTAACTTTTGATTCCCTTTGCTGTTAGATTTTGTGGAGCACAGTCCACCTTTGAGTAAGTCTAGGTTTATTTTGAAAGGATCTTTAGATTTATTTTGAAAGGATCCTTATTGCAACTAAAAACCTTGTGGATGTTCTTACGTTCTTGTTTATAAAAAGTAAGGTGAGAAGAAGCATATTTAAGAAGCTTAGAATCTGTTAGGAATTAAACAGATGATGAGGCAAAGGTTTATCCACACTGTAGAAAATTAAGAAGAGAGTTAATTTGGACAGTTTAAAAGACATTGTAATTTCAAGGGTTTTGTGAAAACATTTGTTTTCCATCTCAACCCGCAGGTGGAGGCTTTGTTGGCATCTGAAGATTATGGGAAGGACTTGGCATCAGTTAACAACCTTTTGAAGAAGCACCAGTTACTGGAAGCTGATATATCTGCTCATGAGGTATTGCTTTCTTGTTTAGTTTTGGAAGATACATCATAGTAACCAGCATATTCTACAGGTACCACTTCAGTAGAGGCTGTGGCCATACACTTGTTGAACTGCATTTTCTTAATAAAATATGTGCCTCTGCCCAGCAATCAGATTTGTGATTTTTATACTGGCATAACAAACACAAGTGAGATCCGAGCAATTCACACACCTTTCCACCTCTTTCTCCAGGATCGTCTGAAGGACCTGAACAGCCAAGCTGACAGTTTGATGACCAGCAGTGCTTTTGATACATCTCAAGTCAAGGATAAGCGTGAGACCATCAATGGGCGCTTTCAGAGGATCAAGAGCATGGCATCTGCTCGCCGAGCAAAGCTGAACGAGTCCCACCGCTTGCACCAGTTTTTCCGGGATATGGATGATGAGGAGTCCTGGATCAAGTATGTATTTCAGAAGTTCTAGGCTCTGGCGTGGGACATGTGCTTACTGCCAGGTTGCTAACAGCATTTGTAGTGTGGATTTATAATGTACCAGTTCCACAAGAAGGTGTCTGTACAAGAAATCACCTTTACCCCCATTCAAGGAAAACCAGAATGGCTTCAGCACTTATTTGGGTGAGACTTCTTATCTAGGGTTTGCTTTGGTCAAACCCTGAGAAGGAAGCTCTACTGAAGAGTAATGCTGTTTAGACCTGGCCCTGATAACTGAAATATGATTCTAGTCTTTTTGGGAAAGCTCCTACCAAAACCTCATTTTTTCAGTTTGAGGTATTTATTTTAGCAAGATTGCTGTGCAGAGCAGCATCTCCTGATCTGCAGTAATCGTTTTTTCCTTTTGTCAGGTTTGACCTGTAGAAGTAATCTTTAATTTTTGTCTTTCTTCCTTCTCTCCTGCATTTAGAGAGAAGAAACTATTGGTGAGCTCAGAGGACTATGGCAGAGACCTGACCGGTGTGCAGAACCTTAGGAAGAAACACAAGCGCTTAGAAGCAGAATTAGCTGCCCATGAACCTGCTATCCAGGTAAATGCGTCTCTCCCTGACAGATTTATCTGTAAATGGCACATTTCTTGCTGGTGACAAATACGAAAGCCAGGAAGAGGTTTGCTGTAATCCAGATAGAATGCATAAGAAGAGAAGTGATGTTCCATTAATTGTATATTTCTCTGCTTTTCCAGGGTGTTCTAGACACTGGTAAGAAGCTTTCAGATGATAACACAATTGGAAAGGAGGAGATACAGCAGAGACTGGCTCAGTTTGTGGATCACTGGAAAGAGTTAAAGCAGTTGGCAGCTGCAAGGTGTGTGAGATATCTGTAAAATTCAGGATGAATTAGAACAGTTACATGGACTTGTAATAGCTGGATTTACTGGTTCTTAGGTGTTCTGCTGGTGTAATTTGTTTTTACATCTTCTGTCTAAAAGCTATAAGGCAACACAGTGACTAACTTTACCTTTCCCCATACAGGGGCCAGCGTCTGGAGGAGTCTCTGGAGTACCAGCAGTTTGTAGCAAATGTTGAGGAAGAAGAAGCCTGGATAAATGAGAAAATGACCCTGGTAGCCAGTGAGGATTATGGAGACACACTTGCTGCTATCCAGGTATGGAGAAAGTTATCAGCTTGTCATTGTTCTTATTGCATTATTGTCAGTTAGAGCTTAACAAATGTTTTCTTTAACTGGCTTTCCAATTCAGAGGTTATTGTTGGTTCCTTTTGAAGGCCTAAGTTGTAAAAAATGTGAATTAACTTCATAAAAGCATCCCAAATATGTCATTCCCTGTAGAAATGACTTGCAGTTTGGCGTAGCTTTGCATCTTGACTGCTGGTGAGTGATCCCGGTTAAATCAAATGGCTGAAGTTGTATGGGAATCAGTATCAGATTTCCTTTGTGCACAGAAAGCCAGCAAGTTGTGCTAACCAGCTAAGAGGAATAGTTTCTGTTAGCTGATATATAACAATAAATGAGCTTTTGCAAAAATGATTTTTCAAAAAGTGATGAGAAATGATTTTAAGACGTTCCTGTGTCTCATGTTTGCAGGGCTTGCTGAAAAAGCATGAAGCATTCGAGACCGATTTCACTGTCCACAAAGACAGAGTGAACGATGTTTGTGCTAATGGTGAGGATCTCATTAAAAAGGTGAGCATAAACTGGTAAAGAAAAACCTTCAGAGGCTACCAGGGACATCTTTGTGTCAAAGTAGCCCTACTCTTCTCTGAGGACTGATTCGTCATCTCTTTGAAAAGTGCTTTTTACTCATTTTTTGCAGCTGAATAAGCTATGGGTGTAAAGTGCTTTCAAAGCTCTTTCTTGGACAAAATCTTCCAGCTGAAGCCCTTGCTCTGTCACCAGCTTACTGGATGCCTTGAATGACCTTAACATCATAGGGGATGCACTGTTTTTTTTCTCCTGTCATGTAGAACAATCACCATGTGGAGAACATTACAGCCAAGATGAAGGGCCTCAGAGGCAAGGTGTCAGATCTGGAGAAAGCAGCAGCTCAGAGGAAAGCCAAATTGGATGAGAACTCTGCCTTCCTGCAGTTCAACTGGAAAGCAGATGTAGTGGAGTCATGGATAGGTATGTCCTATATGGAGCATGGTAGTCTGGCACAAAGAAACCAAAATACTCCTTTATTTCAAGAGACTTCAAATAGCTTTTCAGTTGCTATTGTAACAAGCAGACTAAACCCAGAGTAATCAGCAGTGCTGTACTGATTTGCTTTGGAGGTAACCTGATTGGGATAGAGGGAATGTTTGAGATAAAGAGACCTGACATTTTTTACTACATTTGTTTCATTTTCCAGGTGAGAAGGAGAACAGTCTGAAGACAGATGATTATGGACGTGACCTCTCTTCTGTGCAAACCCTACTCACCAAACAGGTTAGTGCTAATGCGGCTCCCACCCTGGAAGTGATGGAGAGAACAGAACTCTTCTACAATAACACAGAACTAGTACTTATGTTTGAAATATATGGAGGATATTGGAATGGTTAAATAAAGCATGGCCTGACATACTCTTTTAATGCTTCAGGAAACTTTTGATGCTGGACTTCAGGCTTTCCAGCAGGAGGGAATTGCAAACATCACAGCTCTGAAAGACCAGCTACTAGCAGCCAAACACATCCAGTCAAAGGCCATCGAGGCTCGGCATGCTTCCCTGATGAAACGGTGGAATCAGCTACTTGCCAATTCTGCTGCCAGGAAAAAGAAACTCTTGGAGGCTCAGGAGCATTTCAGAAAGGTGAGTGATCAACAATGGGGCTACAAACATCTAATTGGTCTCTTTGTAACAAATACATCACGCTTGCAACTTGTATAGCTTTGTCATTTGGTAGCTAATGATTTTAACAATCCTGGAGACTTACCATAAGAATTTTGTAGATGCTTGGAACAAATAAGGAATAAAGGCAAGCTGTAACTGATGCATGTTAATTCCAGATCAACTCATATAGAACATTTGCATTACTGCATAACTGAACTGGTTTGTTTTCTCTTTCCAAGGTTGAGGATCTGTTCCTGACTTTTGCAAAGAAGGCATCTGCCTTCAACAGTTGGTTTGAGAATGCTGAAGAGGACCTGACAGATCCTGTGCGCTGTAACTCACTGGAAGAGATCAAAGCACTGAGAGAAGCTCACGATGCTTTCCGCTCTTCACTTAGCTCTGCCCAGGCTGACTTCAACCAGCTGGCAGAGCTCGATCGCCAGATCAAGAGCTTCCGTGTAGCCTCCAACCCATACACTTGGTTTACTATGGAGGCTCTTGAAGAAACCTGGAGGAACCTGCAGAAAATTATCAAGGCAAGTCAGAGAGAAGGACTCCTTTCATAGGTTACAACCTTTCAAGTCTTCCCTTTAAGTTTTCCTCCAAGATAATCAGTACAAGAGTTTGTGTCCACAGCTGGAAATATCTTGAGATTTGTGAGCAAAGAAAGATTTCCATTAGCTATAAACTTGTGCTGTTGTCAGTTGGTTTCATGGTCTTCCACCTGTGGTGTTTCAAAGACAAAGCAGATGTACCTCATTTCCTAGCTATAAAGTAAGTTTAACATCCGTACTGTGCAGAAAAATAACTGCGGGTTCAGTTCCAGTTGTCAAGACTTAAGTAGGAACATTCTATGTTGTCATCTCAGATGATTCTCTTTAGATACCCAGGACACCGGTGGAGCACTCAGTCTTGTTTTGAGCTGCAGCTCTGAGCTTTTGCTTTTTATTACAGGCCAAGGACAATCATGTTATTTCTTTGTTTGAAATTACTGTTGTTCGTTTCTCAGGAGCGTGAATTGGAGCTGCAGAAGGAACAGAGGAGGCAGGAAGAGAACGACAAATTACGCCAGGAATTTGCTCAGCATGCTAATGCTTTCCACCAGTGGATTCAGGAGACCAGGTATAGTTTGTCTTCCCAGGAGCTGCCCTGAGATTCCTCAGCTAAGATTTGTAACCATCTTTTTGTTCTAAGTTGTAAATATCTCTTGCTGAAAAACAGCTATTCAGGGCTTGTTCATTTCCTGCAGTTGGGATTTGAGGGAGGCTCTGTTAACCACAGAGAAGAGAAAGCCCTGAAACACCAGTGTTTCTGCTTCTGAATTCATTTTCCTGCAGTAATTCCAGTTATCCAGGATTTCACTCTTCTCCAGTTATTCCTGAAGTAGTCTGCAGCACAGCTGGATGGGTGGGGAGTAAGTAGCTCAAAGCAGACTGTGAAGTGCCAATGGCATTTCTGTCAGTGCTCCTTTTGTACTGAAGATATAGTAGAAACCTCATGAGAATTACAATAGAGAAAGAAGCTGTCAAAAAAAGCTTCATCTACTTGTGTCACTTGCCCAGGGTGCTGTCTGGTAATACCCTTGCCTAGAGAGAGGGAATAGATACTTATCTCCTGTGTTAGAAATAGAACAATCTCAAGGCTGAGAATAGCAGTGAACTGAAGAGCATGTTTCTAGTAAAGAGCAGTAACGGTGCTCAGACAGAGCCATTGGCCAGTTCTGACACACTCTGGTTGTGTAGAGGAGGTGAGTTCTGTTTCTGTGTAATCCTGTGATCCTCTGTCTCTCTGTTTATAAATAGTTCCATCTTCATGAAACAATGAAATTCAGATATGATTTTTAACTTGTTGATGTTTGCTTCCCACCCAAAACCTCTGTCCCTCTCTTACTGTCTTGTCTCTGTCCTGCTGCCTGATGTTTGGATCTTCACATTCCACAGGACATACCTGCTAGATGGGTTAGTATTGAATTTTATATCTTTAAATGTTCGGTGGTGTGTTCTGCTCTGTCTGTGTGCTTCCTTCTGTCATTACATTGCTTGTGGAAGCTGTGCTAAAACCCTTTTATTTGAAAAGAGCAATCTGGCTGAGATGCACACACAGGAAACGAGATTTTGGGTCAGATTTAGTGCAAACCAGTAGAAATGTCATGATTTCCTACTCAAAAGCAGAAGAAATTACTTCCATGGTAAGCCACTGGCATACCATGCAGGTCCCAACTTTTGTTCTTGTGCTCTCTGAGGGCTTGTACAAGGAAAGACTTAATCTAATGAGGTGTGTGAGGACATGGACTAGTCTACCTTCGGAAAAGAGCTGACATTCCTAGTTTTCCAGCGTTCCTCTGAATCTTGAATCACTGAAACAAACTTTTCCATTATAACTATCTCGGAACAATTAAAGCTCTGAAGTATTGACTGGTTTTGGTAAGGAGAAGGGAAGATTCTGACGAAAAGGCTTTACTGAAATTGCGTATCTTCAAACTCTGTAGTATGCAAATAGAAACTGCCCATTTTTTAAACTGCCACATAACCCCCCCCAAGATTAAATCCTTGATAGGAGAAATCAGACCCTTTAACAGGAACCCACAGGCGTGCCTGGCTTTGAGGGCAGTTTGATGCAGGCAGTTTTAAGTCCGCTTTGTGTCCAAGGGAATAGTTCCTGAGGAGGGATGCATGCTGGTCATTTGTCAAGTAGTGGAAAGGAAATAAGATCTTTAAATGTCTTTGGACTGCCAAGCCCTCTGCGAGTGAGTCTGTCCATTTAAATTTCCTCAGTATTAAAAGCACAATGGCAGCTTTGTAGTAAGACATCACGTAAAATGCCAACAAATGATGTCTGGGCCTGGAGCAAGGGCCTGTGTGTCAGCCCTCTGTAGGGTGAGAGAGCCTTTCACATGGAGAGAGATGGCTTTTCATAATAAAAGGGTGGAATCTTTGCAGATAACTGCTGCTTATTTGCTCTGAAGTGATCCCAGTGTCTTGTATTCTGCCAGATAAAAATAATTTACCCCATTTTTGTTGTACAGTTCAATGGCACCGAGCAGATTTTCCTGGAGCGGATGCTGAATTCCCTGCTCCTTTGTGAAGCAGTGTTGTAGATTAGTTCTGGTGTCCAAGAACAAGCCAGCAGAAAGGAGCCATTTACTGAAAGACGTAGGGTCAGAGTTCGAGATCACCATGCCAGGCTCTTTTGTTGAACGCATTACCAGAAGGCTGCTGATATGCCAGGCTGACTCTGTCCTTAATTCTGCCTGAATAGATTAAAAGCACGGATTTAGCTCAAAGAGGCATTGGCTGTGCTTAGCCTTCTTTGGCAAGAGGGAAGGCAGAGCCTCAGAGGAGTTCCAAGATGGGTGTTGCTGTGTGTACATATCCACTGCCCAGAGATCAGGAAGAATAAATGCCTTTAAGAAGCTGTAGAGGAGTTAACTGCAGGGCTTCAACTTGTCTCTCAGTGAGACTCAGTTGTCGTGATTTACACAAAAAGAACACATTATTTTTGTGTGTGTGCAACCAGCATTTGAGTGATTTCCTTCCCTAAGGCACTTGCTTGTGTTTGCTGCAAGGTGGTGCTGGCTTGGAGTGTGGCTCCGCTGCAGTGGCTGTGTTTCAGTGTGTTCTTTCCTTTGCTCTTTCTTCCATCCTTTTAAGGAATTTACCTGGTTTCTTTTCTTTGACTAGCATAGCATATCGTCGTGTCATTCGTGTCTATCAGTATGAAGTTGGGGATGATCTATCTGGAAGGTTTTTTTCCTCTTATTTTCTTACCTCACTTTGGTTTTCAAATGCACTCTTTAATTCCAAGGCTCGCTTTCCTTCCAACTAACTCTCACGGCTTAGAGATGCTTGGAGGTTTGTTTCCCTGTTGACTGTCTCCATGGGTGGCTCCCAGCTTCCTGCTCAGGGTTCTGCGCGTGCTTCATCTCTTTAGATGTGCATTGAACCTGAGCTTAACCCTGTGGTGTGAAACCCCCAGATACTTGGTACATTTTCATTGCTACAGGGTGATTCAGCACTTGAAATCTCCCTCAAGAAGCATTAATTTGTGTAGGATAAACCTCAGTGGGCATGAAAACCCCAGCTTTAGTGACTTAAATACCAGCTACTCAAGTTTTAGGGACTTATATACCACAGAGGAGACAGTGCCCAGGCTTGCTGTCCATGCACAGGTTGTTCAGTGTGAACTCCCACACTGTGTGCTGGAAGGGCAGGGATTGTTAAACCACTGCTACTTCAAGGATGCTTAGGATCTTGGTGGGGGGAAAGCAGCATCCAGAGACTTCCCATAGCTAGTCCATATGTAATAGATCTTCAGACCATCACCACAGCATGACCTTTATCTGCTGCTGCAGGGGCTGTGGTGTGCCTAGCAGCTCAGTGTGGGAATCAGCTGTAGAAGAGAGACCATGGCTTAGTTTCTCAGGGTGCATCACAGTGGGGGTGGGAAGGGCAACTGTCCCCCAGCCCCTGCAGCGTAGGGGAGGTCTGTGGCTTCCTGCAGTGATTGTGCCATACTAGGATTACTTTTAACACCAAACCACTAGTTTTCAACATGTTTTCCCCCCATCTTATCCTCATGTAACATCCCTCTGTAGAGCCCCTGTACCCCACTGGCAAGCACAGCCCATCTCCAGGGAATCACCTGTAGTTGGTTGTGTGTGTGTGTGTGTGTGCTGGGCACGGGGGAGGGGGGTGGGACTGCACCAAATTCCTAATTTCATTAGGTCCAGTAAAGCGGGTGCTTTGGATCTGGCATGAAGTGTGGCTGCTGATGGTGTTGCCTTTAAATGGGGCTAGAAATTAACTATATCAAGAGAGAAAAATCAAACACGTGTCCGTCTGAAACAGGATGAGTCAGAACAAAACACAAAACCAGTGTTTAAATATCTATAGGAGAACAACACTGCTGTCAGGGTCTTTATTTTCAAGGAAGGACTGTTAATTTCAAGCCCCACTTGCCATTTTTTTTCTGGGATAAGTGCATTCTCTCACTGTGATTCTGTGTTTAGGTCATGCATGGTGGAGGAATCAGGAACGTTAGAATCACAGTTGGAAGCTACTAAAGTAAGTGATGCGAAAACATGGAACTGGGGTGGGACTGGAAGTGCGTGTCATTCCGTGGTAAAATCCTAAGTGACTGCTCACGTTCCAAGTACTGGAGGGACCTTTGGGATTACCTGTTCACATACCTGATGTCTGATCACTACCATGAAACAACACTGATACCATTTTCCTTTTTGTTTTGTTTTTACTGATGAGCAGCTTAGGGGCAGGGAGGATCCAGTATTTCCAGCACATTTCCCAGTCAGAGGGGTTTTGGCTCAGGAAGTGGTTTTCTAATAGTGTGCACAAGGAGGAACGTTGTTGAGTAGGCTTTCACAAATCCCAGTATACGTATATATAACCCCAGCAGAAAAGAAATAGAGCCCTCCCTCCCCTGCCAGCCTGTGTCCAACCTTTTATGGGGGGGTTTGTGCTAGCTTTCTCTCCTCTTCCTTCCCAACAGCGCAAGCACCAGGAGATCCGAGCTATGAGAAGCCAGCTGAAGAAGATCGAGGACCTTGGAGCAGCCATGGAAGAGGCACTGATCTTGGACAACAAATACACAGAACACAGCACCGTGGGGCTGGCCCAGCAGTGGGACCAGCTTGACCAGCTGGGCATGAGAATGCAGCACAACCTGGAACAGCAAATCCAAGCTCGGTATTGCCTGGCTCATGTGTGTGTTGGGCTTGGGGGGGTGCTGGAAGATGTGAGACATCTGCCCATGTCTGAAAACAAACCTTGTACGGTCTGTGCTAACAGCTGTATGCTCTTATGGATGTAGGGAGCTTGTCAATCCCCACCGCATCCTGGCTGTCCTCAGAGGGATGAAGTTAGGAGTTTTGGAAATAGTTCCTGTTAGCCATTAGCAATAACAGGATCTTAGAGGAATGGACTGATTCTGTTGATCTGTGGGGCTGTAATGTACTGTTTGCTCCTTGTCCTCACCTTCTGATGCAGCCGCTGGCTTGGGGCAGGGGGACACCAGCAGAGTTCTGCAGTTCAGGAGCTGCTCACCAGTTTTGCTTCTTCCTTTTCAGAAACACGACTGGAGTGACAGAGGAGGCCCTGAAGGAGTTCAGCATGATGTTCAAGTGAGTGCAGGGGAACGCTCAAGAGGCTTCTTGGCGCGTGGATGGCTCCTGGTCATGGGCTTCTCTGACTGAGCTCTTTCCAGCTCCTTTGCTGTCTGCCCCAGTTTGTGCTGAGCTGCTCTGATGGCTGCCAGGTGGCGAGAGCCTCCAGAGCCAGAGAGCCTCTCCTGGGCACAAGGGCAGGAACCAGGAGTGCCAGGGAATTCCAGCTGGGAATACAGCCATTTCTGGATGCTTTTTAAGCAAAGCAGATAATTTGTGTTTTTTCATGCACGTGAGATAAAACTATTGATTGATTCAAGCTCATTTATCCAGAACAGTGGACTAGTTGTAATCTCTTCTGGTTTTCAACCCACTTTACAGCTTTTGGTACTCACCAACTGACACATACAAATGTGAACTCTGGTTTTATGTTTTTAGGCACTTTGACAAGGACAAATCTGGACGACTTAACCACCAGGAGTTTAAGTCTTGCTTGCGCTCTCTCGGCTACGACCTGCCTATGGTTGAGGAAGGAGAGCCAGACCCAGAATTTGAGGCAATTCTTGACACTGTCGATCCCAACAGGTACTTCCTGTAGAAATTGATGTGGTGTTGATGCTCCCCTGTGTTAAGGCTCCTCCCAGAAAAGCCAAGACCCCTCAGGCGGGTACGAAAGCGCTGTGCTTTGTGCGTTGATGGGCAGCAGGGCTCACGCTGTGTTTCCCTGGCAGGGATGGACACGTCTCACTGCAGGAGTACATGGCCTTCATGATCAGCAGGGAAACAGAGAACGTGAAGTCCAGTGAGGAGATCGAGAGCGCTTTCCGTGCCCTCAGCTCAGAGGGGAAGCCCTACGTGACCAAGGAGGAGCTCTACCAGGTACGTGCTGGCTGTGGCCCAGTGGGGAGGGATGATGGAGGGGTTGTGTTTGTAAGTTGGTAGCAAAGATGGGCACCGGTTGCTTGGAGGTTTGAATCACTGGTGGTGTGTGTTGGCTCCAAACCTGCCAAGGTGCCCTCTGCAGCTAAAGCAGGGATGATGGTGATGGCCCTTACCTGCTTTCCTGGCTCGGAGAGGAACAGGAAAGCTTTAACTGCCAAAGAACTACCGAGGCTGAGTAAAACAAGAGCTGCTTTAGGCCTGGGAGGGTGTTCACTGTCCTCAGAGACTGACACTTTCTTTTCATCACTGTGGAGACTAGAGGGAGATGTTTCTCCAGACAGCGATGCAAAGGAGAAACTTAAGGCTAAGTTTAGACAGTAGAAACATCTCCTCCCTCTCGCTGCCCTGCCAGGACAGCAGGTTTTTCCTGTCTGAACCCACCAGCTGGCAGAGAAACAAAGAGGTCGCACTACTTCCTTGTATCAGTTACCTGCTCTGTGTTCTTTGGTGGGAAGCGCAGGTCAGACCTTCCAACCTCAGCCAACTGTGCCAACAGCCAGTGCATTTCCAGGCTGGATGTAGTTCCACACCCCAAGCCCTGTGCTGCTGGGAACGGGCCTGCTCCGTGACCACCCCCTGCAGCCCCAGCATTTGTCTCCACCTCTGTGTTTGTGTCTTTCAGAACCTGACCCGGGAACAAGCCGATTACTGCATCTCTCACATGAAGCCCTACATGGACGGCAAAGGCAGAGAACTTCCTTCTGCCTACGACTACATAGAATTCACACGTTCACTCTTTGTGAATTGATCTGAACCGCCCCCCACTAGTACCAAACGATGCGAAGGACACGCTCACGTTTGCTGACTGTAGCTCTGCATGTGTCTCTCTCTCTTTCTCTCTCTTCGTGCTCTCCAATAATCAGTGTTACTTTATGATGTAACCTTAAACTGCTTAGCTTAAAACTCTTAGGGAAAACAAAACATGGTGCAGTGTGCTTCAATAAAAGTTACTGGTCGAACCACAGCAGCTTGTGTTTCATGGTTAAATAAGAGTTTAACTGATGCATGGATGACACTCCCACTGTCACAGCTAAGTGTTTCTCAGGGCAGTGCTGTGGAAGAGGCGAGTGGAAAACTTGTGGAGGCAGAGAAGTACCAGGCTTGTCGCAGGTGGCTGTGCTGCCACCTCAGTCTGTGCTCTCAGTTGCCAGCTGCTCCAGATGTGTCACTTCCCTGGGTCGCTGCTCAGTGAAGTCTGAACTGAGCTGCCAGACTTTGATGGCTCCGGTGGCGTCCCCAGCGGCCAGGAGATGGGTTTGCTTCATGTTGAACTCCAGACAGTACACGGGGTGCTTGCCTGCAGCCTGCTTCATGGATACAGCCGGCTTCTGCGAGCTCCTCTCGAAGTCAAAGAGGTGCACCTCTCCTGTAAAACAGTTCCTGCAGCTTAACAGCAGTGCTCACTGCATTTAACAGCAGAGCAGTTACTCACGCTGGAGCTCACAGTTGTGCCCTTCCCTCTTACGGTGTCTGGGCTGTGACAGGCACCTGCCATCACTGCAGGACTGTGGATTTGTTCTGCTGTCAGAGACCTGAAACCAGGCAGCCAAGTGCTGCCACATCCCCGTTCCTTAACCCAGAACTTGGGCAGTTTGCTAAGGGAAGAGTTCCTGTTTAAATCATTTGCTCTAGAAGCAAACATGAAAACCAAGGAAGGCCAAAGTAAGCTTAGGAGGGTGATCTCACCATGTTACACCCGTGAGCGGTTGGGGCAGCAGCAGAAGAGGTACATCAAAAGTGAAACGTAACTGTGACCGATGTAGTCTTGGCTAAACATTACCCATTGCAATGATACCACAGTGCAGACATGGTCACTGCTGCCTGCTCCTGGGAACTGTCATCAATACAACTCACTTGGACTAATTAATACCCAGCACGATCCCAGTTTCCTCTCTAAGAGCAAGCTCCTGCAGGTACTTGCCTTCACCCGATGCAGCCGCGAAGACGAGCGGTCGGACTGGAGACCAGCGTACGCAGAACAGGTATTTCCTTGATAACTGGAGAGAAACGAGGGGTTGTGTCTGCAGCATGGAGTGCAGGTGGACCTGTCCGTCAGTCCCACAGCTCAGAAAGAGGTTCCTGGGGGAGGGAGGAACAAGAAACAACTTACTTTGCTTTACTGCTTAAAGATGCAGACTAAAGATCAATCAAGGAGCGTGACCCTGGCCAGTATTACTGCCTTGCCTAAGGCAGTGATTCCCGACCGTACCCTGGGCTGTGGAGATGCAGTTTTGTCACTGCCCTCAATTAAGTTTAATGAGGGTTTGTGTGGCCCAGAGGCCTGAGAACTGCTGAGCCAGGGATGGGCTTTGTTGCAGTCACGTTTGTCTCCTGCAGATTAGATGCAAACCAGCGCTGTCAGCACATTTCACAGAAACATAGTGTGGGGCCTCTTCTATGGGTGGTGGTAAACTGCAGGCAGAGATGGGAGATCCAGTTCAGATTCAGGTGGGTACCAGCAAGATTTCTGATGGGCAGATCACTTACAGAAAGCTGGAGAGGGCCTTTTGATAAGGGCATGTAGGGACAGGAGAAGAGGTCATGGCTTTAAACTGACAGAGGGGAGCTTATATTAGGTGCTCGGAAGAAATCCTTTGCTGCTGGACACACGCTCCCAGCCCCTGGAGCTACCTGAAAACGGGGTGTTCGGAGTCAGGCAGTAACTGTGCCCGAGGTGCAGCACCAGTGTCGGTGCCCAGCACTTGCCTGTGGAAGGGGGAGCAGCTCACGGAGTAGACGGGCCCACCGTGCGGGGAGAAGGCGAGTTCAGCCGGTGCCCGCAGCGGCACAGAGCTGCCCGTGCGGTGCAGAGCCGGGGTCACTGTGGCCGTGCAGCACTGCAGGGAGTAACCGCCTTCCACACCCACCACGAACAGCCGGGGATCGAAGTGGGAGAAGGACAGCGAGGTCACACCGACTGCGGCCTCTCCACAGGCGACCTGGGAGAAGAGACAGAGCTACTGTGAGAGCCAGGGCGGCCACAGAACACAGGCGCACCTGGAGCAGCATGAACCAGCCTGCCAGGGACCCAGCTGGCACCAGCCACCACATCTGTAGCACTGCTCAGCCTTTAACCCCTGCAGAACCCTCCTACGAGGGGATTCATGTCAATCCCCTGATGATTGACATGACTTCATGTCAATTAATATAATTACAAGCAAGTTCTCTTCCTCCATCCCAGCAGCTTCTCTTTCAAGCATGGCAAAATCGCACGTGTTGTCAGACTTCCAAGGAGCGATTCCAGTATGGGGAAGGATATGGGGTTAGTGCATCTGATCAAGAGGGGCTTTTCCTCACCCTTCTCACGTGGGATGTGAGCTCTGCCACATGGGCTCTAGCATTAGGAGTGGATTTGTAAGATCTGCCCTCCCTGAACCCCTGAACTCACCTTCTTCAGCCAAGAGCTACGAGGGATCTGCTGTGCCACCAAGGCGAAGCCTTCAGCCAGGACCAGCCGCCCGTCTCGCTCCTCCCTCCACACCAGGATCTTCCCATCCGTCGACACGCTCAGCAGCCGGGACTGGTTTCTGTGCTTGGCATCAGGCAACCAGTTCACCTGTTCCAAACACCCTGAGCTCAGGAGGAGGGGAACAGCACCGTGGTGCAGCCCCTGCTTGGCAGTCCTATAACCCCCCTCCAGGATGACACAGGAGCAGAGCCCACAAGCAGCCGGTGATCTTGGTACCGACCCAGCTGCTGCTGGGAGCTGGCGCAGGGATGGAAGTGCTAGGATAGAAATGGGTTTGGGTGTTCAGGACTGCAGGAGGTATTGCAGCGTCTGTGGTTCATCTGCCATCGCTTCTGAGGCATGGTGTTTACAGCACTTTCACCCAGCCATAAACAGCGTTTTCCTGACTTTCAGATATGAAAATAACACAGACTGTCCAGTCACAGGATCCCAGAGGGATGAAAAGCATCGGGAAGAGAGACTCGCTTTAGGCTTCCAACTAAGCATCAGCAACACTTGGCTGCATCAAGAAAGAGCTGCAGCACAGGAACAGGCTAACTCCTCATTTGCCCTGAACAGTCAGAAGTTATTTTTTACAGGGTAAGTGTCAAATTCAGCAAACGCCTGTTTCAGCAGCTGGATTTGGGGGAAAACAGCCAGATAAAAGAGAACGTAACCACTGAACCAGCAGCCTGGCTGTGGGCAGGAACTGAAGGGGTGAAACAGTCATGGGACTGCTCATCTGCCCCAACCCTGTCTGCTGTAGCTGTTCTCTATTACCTGATAGACTGGGTCTGTGTGAGTGTCATCTGTCATCCCTGTCCTCAAGATTACCGGGTCCTCTGTTCTGCTGGTGTCCCACACCACCAGCTCCCCGCTGAAGAGGCCACCTGAAAGGACGAAGGTGGAACACCGAGGTCAGAGAGCTCAGAACAAATGAGCACAGGAAGCTGAGGAAGAGGAAACAAATGATTCAAGCTGAAGGCAATGAGGGCACATTTCAGACAGAGCCAGAGCAACCCACCAGCTATCAGCGACGGCTGGGAAGGGTGGAAAGCCAGGCACATGACAGAACTGGGAACATCCACCACTAGGTCAGGGTGCTTCGGGTTCAACCCTCTTCTGTCCAGGTTCCAGGTACAAACATAGGATTTTTCTGTGCTCCAGTCCCCATCGTCCAACCTGAAGAAGAGAAAGCTGTGTCTCGCCTTGTCTGCTCCACAGAGGATCCAGTATCTGGTGTCCATTGGGCATTTACATCTTCTGCTTTGTGGCTTGAAGGAAAACTGAGGAGAGGGGATCATGAGGTGATGGAAGTTCTCTGCAGGCTTGTATATATACAGTATGTGTCAGTGTACTTACAAAGTGCCAGCAAGTAAATCTTGGATACGATTCACTGTTCCAAGACCTACTGACCATTCAAATGGGAACAATATAAAGGGTCCATATAGGAAGTTGCTGTGAGTATCTGGGAATGAAAATCTAAAGAGACTGAATTGGTGCTGATCTGCAAAGTGGCTGAGTTGCAAACCACATCTCCTCTAAAGGAGCACTTGAAGATCCAGGGTCTAGGAATACACTGTGGGATAGTACCTTACCTGGAGGGCTCACAGGGGCCTCAGTTGGCCTGAGAGAAGCAGAGTGATTTGAAGCCCAGGCTCCACCCCAGGAACAGAGAACCTTCTTCACAACCACCAGCTGGTGCTGGTGACCCTGCACAAATCGTGCTGCACACCTGAATGCAATCCAGTCCCATGCCCTTCGTACTTGTTTGCCACAAGTGGATCCTGAAGTTATTACTCTGGGATGCTGACAGCCACCAGCTACTTCCTTGGTTTTATTTCTATCCAGTTCATTCCTTGCACACTTGCCAAAATGTTACATGGATTTCTGCCACCAGCTCCAACCTGACCCCTGTGATGTCCCTTCTCGCTACAAGGAGATGATACGGAGGACAGAGATCTACAGAACAGTCAGTGGTTGGGACAGGAAGCAACGATTCTGAGCCTGACTTCTACTGCCTTTAGTTGATGCTCTTAATTCTTTTACTGGAAGAGATATGATCAAATAAAAGGTGCAGATTTCATCCAATGGGTAGTTGAGCTGTGAAGCTCCTTATTAAAGGATGCTGTAGATGCTGCAAGTTTACACAGATTCACAGAGACTGTAGGAGTTTGTGGAAGGGAACTGCACTGAGGGCAACCACAGACACAGAAACCACATTCTCATCTGAAAACAGCTGTAGCCTGGGAGAGCAGAGGGAGCAAGAAACATACAGGTTTGCCCTGTTTTACTCTTCCCTACGCATTCCCTTGTGGATACCCTTTTTGCTGGGGCTTTTAATCTAAGAAATGGCAGTGGAATAAAAAGCTAATGAGGGCAGCAGCCAGGCACAGAAAGGAGAAGCTGCTGTGCACATTCACTGGATTCAATGAATGTTTCTCCAACCCTCGTGTCAGAAATCCTGAAGTGTGTGTTAGCACACGTCCATGGCATCAGGCGCACGCGCGAACGGG